CCGACATAACCATAAAAACAGAAAGAAAACTATTCAGTATCAATGCTTTTACCTAAACATAGCTGGGCCCAGCTAGGTTTGCAGACAAGTTCTATCAAACCTTGAGGCAGAGGAGTTCCGTGCTGTTTACACGTTCTGAAGCAGCAATTCTCCACCCGTGTGCCGCAGGAATTTTTAAATCATGCAATACCTGACTACTTAGTCAGGGGCACTGACCCCTTTTCCCTTAGACTGTTAAATAAAAAAATGACAACAGCCAACACAACAATAACTATCAGTGTGAATGAATCAAAATTAAACCTATTTTTTATCAGATTGGGAAAAAATATATTTTTTGGTGTGCTGCAGAATTTTTGTAGTTAGTTTATGTGCCATGACATGGAAAAGGTTGAACATCGCCGTTCTAAAGCTTAGAACACCTCCCCTGTTCTTTCCACGATGCCAGAACAATCCTGATTCCAAAAGCTGAAAAACACAGCAAATATGGAAAAGCATAGTGCAACCTCATTCATGAATATAAATACAAAAATCCTAAACAAAATATCAGCAAATTGAATCTAGCAGTATATTATTCAAATAACACATCATGGCTAAATAAAATGTACTTCAAGAGTATAGGGATGACTTAATATTAAGAAATATGTTCATAACTTATAAGACGAAAATAGGTAAATGAATGCTGAAACTATCTTTGATACATTCAATATCCACTACTGAGTTAATTTGTTTTTTTACTTTCCCTTAGTAGAATAAAAAGAAGCTTCCTGAAACAAACATAAAACATGTCATACTGAGACATGTTGTGATTAACAATGGAAAACAAAGGAACATTCCCATTAAAACTGAGCATAACAAGGTTTCTTGTTATCACCACCATTATTCAACAGTGTTTTTGGGAGGTTTAGCCAATACCAGGTCGACAAAAAGAGATAAGAGGTATAAATATTGGAAAAGAAAGAGCATAGTTTTCATTATGACTCCTCCCTGAAATAGCCTATGAAAATCTATTAAACTGATACAAAAATTTGTTTAATGATAGCTAGGTCCAAGAGAATTTAAAAAACTCAATAGCTTTTTTTCACATAGTATCAATACCAGTTAGAATATACCACTGGGGAATACTGGCAATAGCAACCACCACCCACTTAAAAAGCAACCAAGTATAGACTTACTTTGCTAGATAATAACCACACTTACTCTATTATGAGGCTTACATCCCTTCCTCACGTGTGACAGACAGCCTGGGCTGTCTGCAGAAGAAAATGAGCACTCACTGTGATGAGGGGTGCTGCTCTTGGGCGACTCCTTGCTGATGGGGAAGATGCTCTGGACCCATAGCGCCCACCTTCCCCACTCTTGGGCCAGGGCCTGGTCCTCCACCCCCGAGCCAGCGAGGGCTGGGCAGGAGAGGTTTCCCCCACAGCCTCAGCTAGGGCAGCCTGTAGCTCTGCTCTCACCCGAAGCACGGCAACCTGAGGGGCGCTTGTGTGACTCAAGAAGGGGAGGAGGGCCTGGACTCCTGTTCTAGGTTTGGAGGGGTGGGGGTCCTCAGGGAGCTGGGGGGACACTCTGGAAAATGTAGGCATGAAGAAGGGCTGGAGAGAAGACGGAGAGGATCTAAGGAGGCTGAATGAGGTCAGGAAGGAAGGGAGTGTTCAGTGAACATCTCTGAAAGTTTAACCCAAGAGGCCTCCCCATCTCCGGCAGTGCACGGGGATGGCTGGCACGCAGCATCCCAGCTCTTGGCCCTCCTACTCTGCACTGCCTTGGTCCGCTGTGCTGGTATCTTCTTTTTGCTCCCCTTCCTTCCCTAAATTGACTCTCCGCCCTGCTCTCTGCCCAGAAGGCCGACCTGCATGGTTACTGCAACAGGCCCCTGGTCCTCTGGTTTCCGACGTGGTTCTACACCAGGCCGGGGGGAGGACGTGCCTGCTCCCCACATCGCCTCTGCTTGAGTTCTGGAGACTAACTCACCACTTAGGGCCTAGGGGTGCTGGCAGCCAGCGCACGCCCTGCACGCTCCTTGTGGTGTCTTACACCTGCTCACACCTGCTCCTTCCTCAAATTATTGTACTTTAGGTGGCCCACCTATTTTTCTGCTGGTCCCTGACCAACAGAAACACTTACCCCACTGCTCAGTGAAGCAGCCGCTCACACCTCCAGCAAAGGACAGTGGGAGGTTGGTCTGGGGAAAACAGGTGAGGCGGTGCTTTGTCTGTTTACCTGATGGGCTTCTGGGCAAGATGGAGCTTCCACCTGTGAACCATGAGGTGGGGAAGTGCCAACCAGCAGATGCCATCCCAAATACGAAACCACGATTTCGGACTTCCCCTCACACGGTTCAGTTAACCACTGCTGCCCCCACGTGGACAGAGGAGGGACCCTGCCCCAGTTAGATAGAGAGGTGTATGTACAGAGAAGGCTCTAGAAGGGTTCTGTACTCCCTGGTAGAGTCAGGGAAAGGAAGGTGCACTGTGGGTGACTTTTTGTTTTTGTTTGTTTATATTTCCAGATATTTGGGGAATGCACGTGTTATTTTTATAATGAGAAAACAATACAGTTTTGGAAAAATGAAAGAGGGGGTGGAGCTATGGCAAGGGTGTTAACAAGCTTTGGTGTGAGGGCTTCCCGCAGCACCTTGACCCTGTCCCCCACCAGGCTAACTTCCTGAGAGCCTGCTGAACCTTAGACTTTGCACTTGTCCTCTCTGTCCACCATTTTGCCCTGGGCCAATGAGAGAACAAGGTGAAAAGCACAGTGTAAACACAGAAGGTGCTGGAGGGACTTGTCGGTTGCTTTCAGGTCCTGTGGCTCCTTGTTCTGCTGATGGTCAGACCCCACCCAGCAAGCTGGCCTTGTCACTCTGCTGAACCTGTTCCACTCGGCCTGCCCCTGGTGTGTCCACCTTCGCAGGGATCTCCCGCAAGGCTGGCTCCGTTCCTAAGAAGCACTAATCCTGCCCAGCTGCCTTGTGCCAGGGGAAGTCCAGACCTGGCTTCAGGGGTTGGCTCTGCCCTGACTCCCTGTGGGAACTTGGACCCGTACTTCTGTTCTCTAGGCCTGTTTCCCTCCAAGGACAAAGGGGAACCCAGCCCCCCAGCTCCAAGATCGTTGGATTGGGGAAAGAAATTTCCCCTGGGTGATCTCTCTGCCTTCCCTTCCCTTCCACTCAAGCCCCTTTGGTGGCTGAGAGGGAGGGGGAAGGTCTGGGAGCAGGGCTTCCAGTCCCTTTGAGAAATACAGCATCCTCTCTGGGAGTGTGTGAGTTTGACTCCCATAAGCCTAGGGATGAAGGAAAACATTGTGTCAAGGCCGTTGGTGTTGCCAGCAGGTGTGACTTTCTTCCCACAGTGGAGCTGAAAGACCCAAGCTAACCTGGAGGGAGGGGACCTGGCCCGGGGAAGCCTGGCACCCAGCCTGGCTCAGTGAACATTTCCTCAGTGGAGCCCAGGATGCTCACCGGACTCAGGGAAAGGAACACAGCCTGATAACAACACTGTGACACACACACTGCGATGCTCACCAGGGCCGCCCGGCTCAGCCAGTATCACTGGGAGGCCAAGGCAGAGGCTCTAGATGCTAGTCTGGCCCGGCATTTAAGGCCGGCACATCTGATTGGTCTTACAGTTCCTCTTGCCACCCCTTCCCGATGGGTCAGCTCCAGGTGCTACCGCTGGGAAGCCCGACTCTCCTCCTTCTGTGCCTTTGCTCAGGCTGGACCTATGCTCAAAATGCCACCTGGCAGAGACTGCTTTTCTACCAGGCCCAGCTCGAATCAAGCCCTAAGAAGCCTTCTGTCTTCTCCCTTTAAGACTTTCCTTCTCCTCACACCTCCTGTCACACTGTCTGCAATTAGACCACCTGCTCCTGCGTTGTACAGGAAAACCCTGAGGGCAACACCCTTCAGGAGCTCTTAGCTGACACCCTTCTTTCACTAGAAACGAATATCCCGCAGCTCATATTAAAGGCATCCTAATGAGCACCTGTAAAGTCTCTACCTTGCTCTGATGCCAGGAAGCCCCTGACAACCTGCCCACCAAGCAGGCTGGTGTGCTCACCACAGCAGCTGGCAAGTGAGGGGCATTATTTCCTTCACCTGAGCTGGGCTTGCACTGCCCATAACCACCTTCAGAGTTCTCGTGACGGCCCTGAGCAGGGCCAGCATTTAGATCGCTCTCTCCCTTGTCATACCCAGTCCCCCGACCCAAGCGTCTCTCATTTCTTATATTTCCTTCCCAGACCATGAAACTTCTACTGCTCTCCTAGTGAAAAATTTAGTCCGCCCTGGCTCTCATCCCATCTCTATGAGAAAGAACCTGATACTGCATTATCGTTTAAAATACAGTCCCCCACCCCCCCGCCAAGATTATACATTCCTACCTTTTGAACTCAGGAGAGGCCATGTGGTTTGCTCAGGCCACTAAGGCACAGGCAGAAATGCCAGTGTCACTTCTGAGCAGAGACCTAAGGGCCAGTTGTGGTCCTCTGTGTCTCTGTCCCCCCTTTGTGAGGACGCTGGAATGGGTCCTGAAGTTAGGATGACGTGGAGAAGCGTAGCGGGCCCGTGGCAGCCGTGTGATGGGAGCAAGAGCCGAGCCTCTGCTGCTGTCAGCCACTGGGTTTTGGGGCCTTGGCCTCTGCTGGACGGACGAGCCTCTCAGGACTGATCAACAGACCCTCTGAGCCCACAGTCCAAAGTTCTCGCTGTTGAGGGACACAGCCTGGAGCTGGGGCACCAGGCCCAAGGCGGTGGGGCTAGAACTGCCTGGCATGCTCCTGGGTCTAAAGCTGTCTCGGTCTCTGTCCTTGGTCTCTGTACTTGACGCTTGACCACTGCCCGCCCTCTGGTCACACCTGACCAGTTCTGCTCCAGCTGCCCCACTTTCCCAGAGCCCTTGACTTGGAATAATAACACCCCCATAATTCCAGAGCAAAGGACACAGCTCACCCGAGTGAGCAGTGCTTTCATTTTAAATGTCCACATTGCCTTCAAGTATACATAACCATATAAAATTACTTTTATTAAAATAGCTTTCCAGTATATTGCATTGAAGACATTTATATAGAAGAAACAATTGCAACAAACATGCTACATTGGCATTGAGATATTCTGAAAGTTTAAGTGCCCACTTTTAAACATTTTGGTATAAGCATATCCTTATATATTCCAGAGGGTACATATAATACTGAAAAATACTCCATGTGGAATCTATGTTTAGGTGCACACAAACAGGAAGTATACACTGAATAGCTTATTTCAAACTGTGAAACATTCAAAGTATTCAACTTCTTAGACAACATGCAAACATTTTAATACTTAGATTGACACTTTTAAATATATAAACCGTAATTCTTTATAACTCTATCTCAGAAAAGAAGGCAAACGAACACTTACCTACACTGTGTACGTCACACAGAGCAAATGTGTCTTCATAAACGGGCAGCATTAGGCTAACACGAATGATTGTCACTTTACAAATATGGCTATTCACCTTCTTCATAATAAAATAGAAAAATCATGTCGTATTTACATGAACTACTAATTATTTCACTTTTTGGCAATTATATAAGTAGCAGCAATTGGTTTAAAGATTGATGTTTACAAACTCAGAATTTAGCTCGGGTGGCACCCGAGAACGTACACTCGGGTGACGTAAAGATAGATGCACAATGCAAGATGCTTTGATGTGCCGTAACTTCTCCCTTCACAAAAGTCACAGACGCACGTCTGTAACCGCGAGATCACCACATTTCATGTGAATGCCACTTGGGTAGCCTGCTTTCACTTATCACAATAGGTGGGGTCCTGAATTACATTTCTGTAAGTTAAATCTGCCTGATGATCCACATGATAATTCCAAAGATACTTTGTCTCCACTCCATGCTTTAATGGCAGTGGCTCTTTACTGTGACCCCTAGCTTCTAGATAGAGTGGGCAATTATCTGTAAACAAAGACACAAACATTAGGGGCCCCTTAATACTTACAGGAGGAACTCTGAAATGAACTTTCTGTGATGCAAAGCCCATTGCATAGTGAGTTATTTTCTACAAAGTGACCATCTCATCTATCAGTGACACTGAATATATTTAGAGCGAAGGACCCATCTAATGAGCCAAATGTAAATCGGAAGGCAGTGGTCCACCAGACGGAAACATCCTATTTGCATTAGTATTTGGAAGAACATATTTTTCCATTTATAAAAACAAAGCAAAACCCCTATCGATATTGGCAGATAAAAAAATACTGTGTGGTGAACAGGTGACGAGGGCCCTAACTTGGCCACTGGCCAACGACAAACCAGAGGTCCTGCGTGTCTCTCGCAGGCAGAAAATCAGACTGAGGAACACACTGCACCTTCCATGGGTCGTCAGTTACACGTCCGGACCACGTGCAAGGTGAGGCCCAGGCTGAGGAGGAAGAGGCCGGAGCTGCAGGGAGGTCTGGCCCCGACGCCGGCCGACGGCACGCTGCTGGAGACCTGCACCTGGGAAATGATGAGGGCAGAGAGCGGGACGTGGGATGCCAGAGTAGGGCTGTCCGAGTTGATGAGGGATTCGATCTTCTCCGCTTCTTTATTGCAGGCCTCAATCTAGGAGAGGAAGATCCGATTCTTTAAATAGAAAACCACAGAACCCAGGAGAAGGTCAAGTCAAATTCCACATACATTCCAACACAGGGACTATGCTTTCAGTTTGTCCTTTTCTTAGATTAAGTACCATTTAATTATAGTCTTAATTTATTGCATAAATGGTAACAGCATCAATGGAAGGCAAATCAGAAAGGAAACGATCCACATGCCACTGCCCTCTCTTTTTCCACGATCCTCTCGCTGCTTATCCACATTCAGGCAGTAGCTTTACAGAGTTAAATGCGGTTACAGGGAATGGATTCTCAGTGCCTATTCACACACTGGGAGGAAAGTGATTAGACTTAGTGAGCTTTCTGACGACGGCAGTTCATAGGCTGTTTGTATTCATCCCTTCACTTGAGCCCTCACTATTTTGATGCTGAAACTCAGGTCTACTTGATCAAGGTTCACCTCGAGATTGTAAGGAAAAAAAACTGGGGTCCCCAAGACTGGCTCTGGTGGGCTCCTCCTCCCCAGTGGGAGCACAGCCCTCGGGGGACAAGGTCAGCTCTGCTGTCACTGCGTGACCTTCGTCACTCCCATCACCTGGCCCACTGGGCGGCTGCATTCCATCTCTGCACCCTTTGAGTCACACATCTCAACTTCTCCTGCCCCCGACTCCTTTGCATTCTGCTGTCAAATGTGAACCTGGCCTTGGCCAGGCACAGTGCTCACTGGGTGCAGCTCTGTCCCTCAGAGACTGCCCTGCTTTTCTCTCCTGCCCTGCTGAAATGCCTCCATCCTGGTTTGTGCCCACCCCTCCCAAGTTCACCAAACTTAAAACTGACAAGATGGCTGCAAATCGTATGCTGAACCCCACCTGCAAAGCTTTTGGATAGTGATCGACAGGAATGATCAGGGCCACGATTTCTGATTCAATGCTGAAGTACCCAAATACATCACACTGTGGAACAGACACATGCATGCGGATTTTCTCAAGTATTTCCAGAACTGTTATTGGCTTTTTGTTTGTTACCTAGAAAGAGAAAAACATTCCTATTACCAGAAAAAAATAACTCCATATTATTGCCTAAGCTGCCTTGCTACTTTGCCTAAGGCAAGGGAAGAAGGCTCTTTTGACCAAGGACCCCCTAAGCACAGGGCCCTGCCAGCTGAACTCTAAATCTCCTCAAAGCCCATTCCTGTGGGTTTTGCCTGACACGGAGCTTTGTAGCCAGAAGGAAAACCACTCTCACCAGAAGTGCTTTTTAGTAATTGTGTGTTCTGAGCTGGATGCCACGGGGAAATAATCAAAGTCTTTCTGTAAAAATGTAAGTGGTGTAATAAAAATGGGGATCATTTCTGAGGCAGTGCCAGGTTTGGCCGCTGCACGGCTGGAGCCCTGTCCTGCAACGGGCAGCAGTGAAAGTGACGGCACACAGACAGAAAAGAGGCGAGGCTCTCACAGACGGCGGTTCCAAAAGCAGCTCACAGAGCAATGGGACTGTGAGAGCAGGCAACCCGGGCACCACCTGCGCATCTCCCAGCCTCCAGCTGCCTGATTTTACCTCTGCTTACTGTGCCAGAAAGGGAACTCTCCCAGAAAGGCTCAGGCTGTGAGGTACGGAGCAAGATCAGCACATAGCCAGGGCGTGGAGGAAAGGAGCACAGGATCGGGGGCCAGACAGCCTGGGTTCAAACCCTCGTTCCACTGGTTATGACCTGTATGGCCTTGGGCAAGCGGCTTCCCTGCAAATTAGTTTCTTCATCTGTACATGGGAACACATTCTACTCTGATGGATTACCGAGAACTTTATCCATAAGGTTTCGACAGTACCTAGCATATAAAGCAACTTACCTTGGCGATAGTATCCAGTTTTTCTTTGTCAAATAAAACTCTTAACATGCCAGCACATAACGGGCAGCAAGCACCTGTGTAAGAGAAACCACGTCACGTGTTTGTAGATTAGCAACAAAAACACACAGCAGTTGGTGACACTGCCAACCCTCCATTTGGGTCAGGAGAGTTAGAGCCGGCCTTCCCCAGGACTGCGCTTTAGGTGTGTGCCCTGACCAACCGGGGTCCTGCAATCTACACACTTTCCAAAATCCTCCCTCCACCCCTGCTTTCATCTCCCACCACTCCTCAGGGTGAGGCAGCGTGGCGTAAGACACGGCACGGAGCGGACTGGCCTTCCAAGAGATGCGAAACCTGGACCGGCCCTGCCCCGGCGCTCTCTGTGAGATTCAGGCCAAGTGCTCTCCTGACTTTTGCTTTCTACCTGCAAAACAAGGGGGCAGGTGTTTCAGGGACTCCACGAGTGTTAATATAATTTTAAAGATTATTTAAAATTGTTATAGAACAAAAACAAAATATCAGGACATGGTCTCCAGGAGGAAAGGGCCTTTCTTTGCTCAGCGCTGTGTCCCTCGTGCCTGTGAGAGTATCTGGCGTGCACGAACAGTCGGTAAATTCACGGACGGAGGAATGAACTTGCTGGGCTACAGACTAATCTGCCCCGTGCTTCCTGGGATAAAGTCTCTTCTGCCCCCTCTGTGTACTGGGAGAGTAAGAGACTATAACATAAGCTGTTTAAAAAAACTGTTGACACTTGTAACAGTCTTTCTAACAAGAAGTTCTCGGTTATATGCAACTCAACTGGATTCTAAGGCCAGTCTAAGGTAACAACTATCTTCTGTTTCAAATGTTTGTGTTCATCAAAACTACTTCAATTACCCATTCAGTAATTACTGATTCTTTATTCATTAACTTGGTGGTAACATATCTTTAAAATAAACATTATGCATTTGAACTAATAATCATAATTTTAGTGATTAAATATTGCTTTATCTGTTTGTATATTGGTGCTTGTTGTAAGATTTTGCTTTAAAAAAGCTCGCCATATTGTTTTAAAACCATTAGACCAGATGGTATCTAAAATAATCCACAGCTTGTTAAGGTCAACCCTGAGTTATGCATCTTGTCAGCAACAGCTAGAGTTAGGACTGTTTGGAAAATTTAAATAGGTAACTCTCCTCTGCACAGTGACTCGCTGTCTGGAGGCAGACAAGCCAAGTGTTCCGGCCCCGCCCCGGCCCCGCCCCAAACACCGCCAGCCGGCCTACCGGGTGGGATGATGGGTTTGCACTCGGTCGCTGAGATGGAAGGACACTTCACAGCGGCACACTCTGTGACGGAACTGTACTCCGACAGGACGCCCACGGCCTGGCAGGGCCCGTAGTAGTCGACGGCCACGCGGTCCGAGTAGGCGGCGCACACGCTGCTGTAGGTCTCGCCGTTGTGCCCGCAGACGGGCTCCGCGGTTCTGCAGAAGGACTGAGGGCAGACAAATCGCATTTACTAACTGAGAGCACAGAGGAGGCCTCCCTCTTTTCAGGAGGGAGAAGATACACAGGTGTAAATTCTGGGACCCTCTTAATTAAGCTGCTGAGGTGGGCTAAGCATGGTGGCGGAGGACAACAGGAGTGCCCCAAAATGAACAGAGATTACTGTTCTCAGCCTCTCTGGGACTCGGTGCTCACTCACGTGAACCAAAATGAGAGGAAACGCCCCCTCCCTCGGACTCTATTGTTCCAGAAGTGCTGGACAAAAACGTGTTTGAAGAAAACAAGATGAATCTTCCTGCAAACACGGAGACTTTATCCTTTCACACTGGGTAAGGGTTAAGGAGAAGCGCGAGTGGAGAGATCAGTGGGGCAGAGACCCTAGGTGCATCGGCGGGTAAGGAGTGTGAGGGGACAGCTGTAGCCAGGAAGAGGGACAAGCAGGAAGAGACTGGGAATCCAACGTGGCAGATATCAGTGCTGATGGGACATGAACTCTGAAAAAAAAAAAAAAAAAAAACCAACAAGCCCCAGGAGACAGGCTGGGGGGCTGCGGGGGCAGTGTCCCACAGTGACGCCCGGGAAATGAGAAGCGATCACGCCAGGTGTTGCGTGGTTGTGGGCAGCGGACGCTGGGCCCAGAGACCGGGTTCCCTGAGCACAGGCAGGCACCCAGACTGGCGGTGTGTGTGGGAAGCCGCCGTGGGCTGATCCCTGGGGTTATTTTTGGAAAAATGAATACAGATTCCACAACTTTAAAAGGCCAAGAGATAAACTGATGGAAAAAGACATCGTCTGAGAGAACTTTTCGATTACTTTTCAGGACTACGTTAGGGACTTCAGTTGGAAGAGTGTTCGGAAAAGAGGTCTTTTCTTGGCTGTTTTCACCTGCATTCTTCCTGACTGGCTTTCTGCTGAGGGTCCACACAACTACGAGAAGTGAAGATGTGCTGATTCAGGTGGAGCATGAGACTTTAAATTCCTTTCCTATACAAAGCCGCTCTCTTTTCTTGCGTGTACGCTATATGGGCAAAGGCACACCACTAGCAAGAGGTCCTTCAGGGCTGGGAGAAAAAGCCCGTCTTGAGTTGGTTTGCTTTCAGTGGAGGGCCGGGTTCTCTAGATGTGACAGGATGCACAAGAGACCCTGAGGTGTTCTCACCGCTGATTGTCTGTACAAGACCATAAGCCAGTTTTATGCCCTATGCACCTGGGTTTGTCAGCTAAACAACGCTACCTGGCACGAGCCTTTGTACAAGAGACTCTTCCCTCTCTGGTACAAAGTGCAGAGATTGCTGTGCTCCACGTGGTTTGTGTCACAAACAGGATCTCGGGCCTGGTCACAGGTGAGCTGTCGTGGCAAACACTCATATTGGCTACATCCAAACTTATCAAAAGTTGTCAGGCAGACTTGGGGTCTGGGTACGCATCTGGAAAACATAAATGCAGCGCTGAGAGGCAGGAGGGACTATGATGAGGCGCGCAAAGCACTGACAAGGCACAGGAGGTCGGGGAGAAAGCAACCGAGAAACTGAAAATACTTCTTGTCCCCAAGAGCTTAGGGAGAGCAGAGCCAAGCACACACACAACGTGGGCTACCGGGTACGAGAGCGCACTCAGTGCTCACGGAGAAAGCACTGGTTGGAATGGCCCCAGGCTGGAGCCCCGAGATAAGAAGGGCTTCACTGGCCTGCCAGGCGGAGGGAGCAGCACAGACAAAGGAGTGCTGGTCAGGACAGTGGTGCCAGGGCAGGGCAGGCGAACCTGAGGGCAGGGGCAAAGGACGCACGGGGTAGAAACGGCGTGACCGGAGGCCATCGAGTGGGTTGGGGTGTGATACAGCAGCCTAGCACTTTTTTACTGTAAAAGGAAATCACTTCTATCCCTTTTCGGCATGAGCCTCCTGTACAGAAATGACCGCCACAGTCACCACGACTACTATGTAGGGTTGCCTTTTCTCATGAGATTTAGAAGTAGAATTCATGCAGTTAAGGTTGTACGGAAATTTAAGACATTTGAAGAGAAATAATGGAAAAGAATATTTAGAACTTAATCATCTATTAATATGGAAGGGATGAGAACCAAGGCTATTGAGAGAAATTGGGTAGTTTTATTTACTTTTTAAAGACTTTATTTAATTATTTGTAGTGAGAGGGGAAGGGAGAGAGAAAGAGAGAAACACTGATGTGTGAGAGACACACTGATCAGCTGCCTCTCACACCCCCTCAACTGGGGACCTGGCCCACAACCAGGCATGTGCCCTGACTGGGAATCAAACTGCTGATTTTTGGTTCGCAGGCCAGCACTCAATTCACTGAGCCACATCAGCCAGGGTGAAATTTGGAAATTTCAGAAGAAAAACCTTTTCAATTTAAGTATATAGAAATAAGATCGATAGGAAAAGTTGAGAATCTGGGGGTAAAGTGAACATGATCAGGGCAGGAACTGTGTCTGCCTACTGTTGAAACCCACTATTTAGAAGATGCCTGGTACGTCAGTACATACTTTAGGAATGCTTATTTTTTAAACAATTATTTTTTGAACAGAAATACAAGCCCATGGTGAAACTGAAACAGTATAAAATATATGCAGTGAAAAATAAGTCTGTCCTACTTCTGCATCCCAGTCCCCAAGCACCCTTCTCCAACAGCTACCGCTATTACCAATCTCTAACTAATTCTTCCTGAGATATTCATGTAAGTATAAGCATCTGTATATGCTGATTCAAAGAGTATGTGCCTTTAAGACGTTGCTAGGATGCCACTTTTAAACCCGAACACAAAAGCTTCTGGGGAGCAACCTCCAGCACCTCCCTTCCCTCATCTGCGGGGCCGACGCAGAAGAAACAGAGGAAGACTAGGAGGCCGAAGGAGCTGGCAGAGTCACTAGGTGGGAGAATCCTAAGTCCTTGGAGGCGCGTGGGGCCGAGCCTGCTACCCACGTAAGTTGCCCCTGAGACCACTGAAGCAGAGAATGGCCCTGTGGGGTGCGCAGCGTTGGGGGCCAGGCTCCCCAGTGGGGCAGTGGTGGCCCAGGACTGCAGGTGATGGTTGGGCAGCGCAGATGAGCAGATGACAAGTGCCCAGTGAGGCACCAAGGGAAGGTCATTATGTATGACCACAAGGAATTATGGAAGCACCTTAGCCTGAAGGAGTGGATCCTTAAGATCGTCTTGCCTCTACTTCCCCATCAGTTTGCAGTTTATTTCTTATTTCTGATCTCCTTTTTATTTCCAATGCGCTGGAGGCACAGTGTTGGTAAACCCCTATTCTGTTCTCCTCCAACCTACTCCAGGGAAAGAAAAATCAAGTGGCCTCTATGACTGCCTGAAAGGGGAGATCTCAGAGCTGGAGATGAATGTGGATAAACTCCTGGGCTTGGAGAGTGATGACACCTAGGCTGGCAAGGTCAAGGAACTGCTGGTTGACTGTTACAAACCCACTGAGGCCTTCGTCTCGGGTCTGCTGGACAAGATCCGGGGCCTGCAGAAGCTGAACGCACATCAGAAGTAATGGTCCTCAACCCAGGGGAACGTACGAGTGGTGCCCATACAACTATCACTGCCCCTGACCTCGTAGCAACAGCAACGCCATGGGACCCTGTGGCCACGCCTGGTGCCATGAGCAGGGCTCCCCCTGCCTCTCCTCAGGGGCCTCTTTCCGGGTCCCTATTTTCCATCTTTAGTTTTAAAAAATTATTGTTAAACTGATGGGACTCTGTGGCATTGGCCCTTTAATAAAGCTAGAATATGCCTTTGGTGCAGCTAAAAAAGAAAAAGAGCTTTGCTCTCTCCACCTTCATCACCACCACCACCCTCCTCCATGGGAAACCTGCCTGCAATGTCCTGCTCATCTTTCCAGCTGAACATCACATCCTCTAGAGGCTCGCCCAGGCCTCCCTAAGGCTGCACCAACTGCTCCACTTCCAGGCCCTGATCGCACAGTACATCGCTAAGCAGCTCTACACGGCTCTTTCCTTCAAGACCCGAAACTTCAGGGCAGAGACCTTCTTAATTCATCTTTGTATTTTCACTGTCTGGTACACAGCAGATGCTTAGTAAGTGCTCGTCTTCAGCTGAAAAAGATGAGGAGCCATTTGACTTACCTTTGGCTTTTGGGACAGGGGTTAGGATTACATGGATCCTTTGAAATGCACGATCCAAATTCAAACTGATGGTCCTGGAGGCCCACACAGCGAGCGATGCAGGCACTGGGGTAAGTGCGTCCGTTCTGCCCACACACGGGGACGAACTGATCTGCACAGTTGCAGGGCAGACCTGAAGACAGGAAACAGCCTCGGTGACGTGTACTGGTACGTTCCGCTTCCCCTGATGCTTCCTCATTGAGACAAACCACTACGCACCATGTGGAGGTCTCATGTGAAAACAGAATATAAAAATAAGTAAAAAGGAAAAAGTCCCCCAATGTCTGAGTGTTTTTTTTAAGGCAGCAAGGCTCTGAAAAGCCACTGGTCTGAATAATGGCTTTCCTTTGTATCATTTACTGCCTGATAATTAAGGGCCTCCAGACCTTGATGTCGGGTAGAGACCCCTATAAGCCAAGCGATAGGTAGAAAAAGTAAAGAATGTTCCTCCAAATCTGGTGTATAAAATCAAGAATTTAGAAGTTTAAAGTCTGGCTTAGGGGATTTCTAGAATGCACCTACCTTAGATTTTAGCTAAGCAGAATATGGGTCAAGAAATACCAAAAGCAAGACAAGACAGCGAAGGTTATAAACTCCTCACACAGGTTCTTTCCATTTCCTGCTGGAAGGTGGGTCACAAGGTAACTCGGAAAGCGCTGTAGTTTTGAGTCTTACGAGTTTTCATGACCGTCTCTCTGAGTCATGTTTGGACTTGGACATTATCTAGGTCCCAAGAAATGAGGTACACTTTGTGGCCAGTAAAATCTCCTTAGAGCCGTTAACTAGGTGTTAAGTCATTAGCGAACTAAATGGTCATTAACCTCACTTACCCCAGGACATGAGGGCGGACTACAGGAAAGGGTTCCTGCTAATTAAAAAGTTCATCTTTCAAAATCATTTAGATGTATGCAAATAAATAAATGCAAGTCTTCTGGCTAATCTTCAGTTCACTCCTCATTCCCACAGAAGTTCATGGTTTCTCTGTGGAGCAGAGCAGACAGAGGATACTAACCAAGCACAATGACAAAGCTGTGAAGGCTGGTGCGTATCAGGGTGGAGCGAGGATGGGGTGGGGTTCGTCTTGCCTCTACTTCCTCTTCGGTCTGCTGTTCACTTCTTATTTTGGATCTCCTTTTATTTCCAATGTGCTGGAGACACAGTGTTGAAAACCCTACTTTGTTCCCACCGGACTCCAGGGAAAGAAGAATCAAGCTGCTGCTGAAACAAGGCAAGAGCAGCCATCTGGTTCCTCTTCGCCCAGGACTCACAGTATTTCAGACCGGGGAGGCCAACAGATGCCGGCAGGCTGCGCTGCTGCTGTGGACAACTGCAGCTTCATCTAGAGAAAAGAGCATCTCACCTCACTGGCCTTTTCACTTACTATAGCTGGTGTGAGTGTAATACTAGTAGCAGAAAGTGTAAGTCAAGAAAGTAGTATTCTTAATTGATTGTTCAGAAAAATTCTCAAGCTTCAAAATTAAAATAATCCCCCAAGTGACCTTGGAGAGATCCCTAAGGAGCCGGGAGTGGAAGGAGCCCGTGTGAGGAGTGCACAGCCGTCACTCTTTGCCTTGTTTCGGTGTGGGCCTCTACCTCCCCAGAAACCCCCACGCCAGACTTCAAACGTCTAAACTCAAGATGTCATACCCCAGATTGGGAGAAACTTTTCCTATCCATAGCTTAATTTATAGGGGTCTCTACCTGCATGAACCAGTAGGCTCTAAGGGGGGTCAAGGAAGAAAATGGTAAGAAAAACATTGGAACAGAAACAAACTTAGAGAACACATGGACTTCGGACCATAATTGGAAGGGTAAATCGGGTTATTGTAGCAGGTAGAAAGGTTCCACTTACTAAAACCATCCCAATCACTGATCTCCTTTTTGTCTGCAATTCCAAAATACAAGTGCTGGAAGGGACCTAAGAAACCATTTAGGGTAATCCTTAAATCCACAGAGGAGGGAAAGTGCCTTGCTCTCATAAATAAAGGTGATGTATTCCTTTCACTGTGCACATGTGCAGTTAAGGCAAGACCAGAGAAGCTGCCTTGAAGGAAAAATGGGTGCAAAGGGATGACGCCTGCTGAGGACAGCACCTGTGCGACCACGGTTACCTGTGAAGGTGCGACGGTCATCTTCTGAACTGTGCTCACTGAGGCACAGGCGGGTGGAACACACCAAGTTGCCAGCAAAACAAGAACAAACATTGCAGTCGATGTTAAAGGATGTTCCATGACCTGCGAGAAGTAAAATGTTGTTCTGTATCATGCATTTATAAATAGATCATAAATTTAAAATTTAATAGTTTAAAAAGTTTTAAAATAAAAGTTTTTGAAAAATGACTTCCAAATATACAAACTAGGAAGTTAAATCTGGAATTATCTTCTGGAGGGTGGGCCCCTTGGAGTACAGGCTTCCTCCACTAGGTGAGTGTTCTAGGAACCCGTCTGTATCAGTACCAACTGGTGTCATGTGAGAGGCTGTGTTCAGCTTCAGTGAATTTTTTTTGAAGACTCTTTCAACAAGTTTACCCTTTTCATGATGGGTGAACTGCTAGGGCATCAGTCCGCACCTAGCTAAGTGTTCAGCAGTTTTTGACCAAAAACAGCATGACCCTCGCCACCCTCTATGTCCCACCCTCCCTATTCACCAAATCTTGCCCAGAGTGACTTTGTTTTATTTTTTTTGTTTGTTTCCTCGGATGAAAAAAGTCCTTAAAGGGAAATGTTTGCTGATATGGAGGAGGTGAAACAAAAAAACAGCAGAAGTACTAAAAGGCATCAAAGTCAATGCATTTAAAAACTGTTTTTAGTGGAGAAAAAATGTCTTGATAGGTGTATTGCATCAAATAGAGAGTACTCTGAAGGTAACTGAAGTTTAAATATGCAGGAATAAATACAAAAGTTTTAATAAATAAAGTCCAGTTTTGCGGTGCTCCCCCTCCTATTTTTGTATCTACCCCCCACCACGTCTCCCCAGATTCCCAATGTGCTGGTCTCACCAGACTGCTCGCTCCCTCTCCTCTGACACTGGTTATGGCTGCCTTCCTGCCTCGAACACTCCTCCCCACCTTCTGCAACTTCACTCAGCTCTCCAGGACCAGTCTGGATGCTACCTTTAGACCGCAGGGTCTCCAAATGCCTGGCAGCCATAACCAGCTTCTTGAAGAGCATTTGGTCCATTACTTTTTGTGGCTCAAATTCTCTCCGCTCTTATCACAGAAAGCATGACCTCAATCCCTCCTCTCAGTTTCAGCTCCACAAGGCACTAGTATGTTCTTTCGTACAGAATAGGCATTAATCAGTGAAAGTCTATGGAAGGAATGAAATTGTGTATCTTCGGATATTTTCTGTGATACAAAGTACCTAACCTGACATTTTAGTAGAACATGGACTAAGTAGAACATGGACTAAGAAATTAATATCTGACTTGCTCTAGGGCAGAAATCTGCAAGTCAAGAGCACTCTTCTTTCAAGTAAGATCTCACACATAAAACTTAGAATTGTGCATGGCACACAGTTATGAGTTCAGTAAGTGTTATTATATTACTAGCGATTAGTCCCTTCTTGAGGAGGCTTCTGAGAGTTCCTTAGAAGTCCTAGTGTCTTTGTATAGTTAGAAAAATACTGCCCTAGGGTATCTGATTTGTAGACTTTACTCTCTGATGAGAAGCCAATGTTCTTCCTATGAAGTTAACCAATCTCAAATTAAAAACAAAAAACAAACGCAGTTCAAGACTCACTTTTTCTTTTTCCTCCAACAATACAAGACTTCTGGAGGTCTATGCAGTGCATTTCCATGCAGTTTTCTAAGAGTCCACTAGGCCCACAGGAGCAAATTTTATAACAACCAACTTCTGAACCTGCAGATGATGGCACCTGGATCAGTGTCCCTTGGCGGACAATGAAATCAGAAGCTTCTCCCAATTTGCAACCTATGTAAACAAAAATCAGCTGAGGGAGGTGGTGCTGCTCTGTGATACTATTTTATGCATTAGATACATTTCACATAAGTCTTATAGGTACTATGTGGCTACTAGAGATTTTCTAAGAGAATTTTCACCGAAGTAATTGTTTTGGTTCACTGGCTAAAAACATATTCTCTCAAACAGAAAGTCCATGTTCTGTGAGATGGTGGTCATTCAGGACCTAGTTCCCAAAGTTAGCCATAGTTCTGTACAAAAATGCTACAAGATAAGTAGTTTTTTTTATTTTGGGGGGCTTATCCTCAAAGATATTCTAAAGTCACAGATATTTTTCAAATGGAATATAAAAACTGATAGTATTTTTAGAATAATCTTGATCAGAAAAACTTTTAGTGATGGAATATAAACATACCTTAAATTTAAAATAAGTTGAATACTTGATTGGGTGTAAGGAAGTCCCATTCATTTTCAATTTTAACAAGACTTATTATAACTCTGTAGCTGATGTGTTATAGTATTACACAAACATTACAGATGATCCTTTTGAGACATCGTGTTTATTTAATTTTTGTTCTTTTTTTATTTTACACATTTTGTTCTTTTTTTATTTTACACATTTAAAATGTTGATTCTGACATCATAAACATTTTCAACTGGGAAAAAATAAAAGGAGGCAGAAATCTGCCACAGCTATATTCTAAAAGGACCCACAAAGAGAGAGACTACAAAATTTCTATGGTATAAAAAATTTTTCAGCCTTAAAATCATATGCATTTCAGTACAACATCAAATTTATGGAGTAATTACACATCCCATTGAGTATGCCATTTTTCTGTATATTAAAAGAAAGAAAAAGCTAAACAATATGCATATATATTCTCAACATGAAAGACAAAGTACGGAAAGCTGGCCCAAAGTTCTTTTCTCTTTCATTGTCAAGAACCCTGCAACTCACCACGAGAGTCTGGTTTTAGATCAATATTAGTTTATAATCTAAATGACTATTGAAAATTATTTGTCTTTGTCATTTTTTATTTTCATAAACAACACGTTTCCTGGGAAAACTTCAAACATAGAAAAATGTAACTTGCAAAATAAAGACCATTATAATCTCATTCTGAAGATAACTCCTACGAAGAAACACCAGCTGCGCATCGATCCTCATGCCACACTCACACCCATCTGCCTCTCACCTTGAACGCAGGAGTACGGAAGGCAGGGGTCTCCGGACGGACACCCTTTTCGGTTCACCTCACAAAGCTCATTGGCAGGGCAAGGATTGGGGTTACAGGGATGAGTCACCTCTTCTACAATGTTGCCTAAAGTACTTGGCCCTGAAAAACCAAAAACAGATCAGTTTAACCTACTCAGATGAGTAACAGAGGTCTGTAAATTACCTGAATTAATTATGCCTGACATAAATGGGATAGCTGACAAGTGTAAAGCAAGGCCTGACTCCAGCAAGCTACAAAACACTCAGGCTTTCATTTGTTTATTTACTGGGTGTACACAATATGCCCAGCAAGGTCCTAGGTACTGGAGATACAGTAGTGAAGAAAACAAACAAATTTCCGTAACAGAGTTTACATTCTGGTCTGGTCAGGACACAGACAACAAATAAATTGTGTGTGTGTGTACTCCTATGTATGTGTATAGAAAGTCAGACAGTGTTAAGTAATAAGTGGTGTGAGGGGATGAAAAGTGACTGTATTTTGGGTAGGATGGTCACATAGATGCTTCCATTCAAGAGGGATAATTTAGCACATTTTATCATAAATGATCATTTATTATGGTAAGATGGACCCCATAACATGATTATATTTATTACCTTGTGAAATAATGACTGAGGAAGTCTCAATATAAAGTATATGTGGTATTTAAAGAGAATATTACATTTTAAACCCAAGCCTTCTGGAAGTTTCCTCCCACTGGAAGTTCCCTCCTACACGTATATATTTGATGCTCTAATAGAGCGAGTATTGTGAGTACACTTGCTTTTCTTACTGACTTTAGGCCAAACCCAGACTTTGAGGCTAACAGAGGTACAAGGGCTCTTGGAGTTTATCCCACCCGGCCCAGCCCCTTTTTGAACAGGGAAGCTGAGGCTCGAAGACACGGTCTGTCCAAAGTCACAGAGGCCTACAGCTCTGGTCTAATGCTTTCTTTTTTGTCATACTGGTCGCAGAGGCTACAGGACATTGTTTGTTAGTCCTCTGAAAATATGGCAGATATTACTAGCTGCAAACTTAGCATTCACTCTTATTTTCCTGCTTACTACTAGAACTCCAATTTTACTTAGGATGCTAATGGGCCCACAGCGAAAAAGATAATCTTTCCTAGTTTCCCTTACATTTGGGTATGGTGGCTAGAATTCCAGTAGCCATGTTGTGATGATAAAATACATAAAGTAATTTTGATGACTGAAGCCCAGCACTAAGAATGATGGAGAAAGAGAAAGGATTCCTGGCGATGGAACCACCAGAACAGTCATGGACTATTTATTTCTGGGCTTTTGTTTACTTCTATCTGTTTTTCTGCCATTGGCAGTGGAACTTAATTCTATCTAAAACAGGGGGGAAAAATAGCTGAATTCACTCTTTCCAGCCAGCTCAAGGCACTAACGCCCCCTGGTGGCAGCCTAAATATTCCCCTTTTCCTAAGTACTCGGTGAGCAGGAGTTCTTCTGGTTATCCCCTGCTTTTCACCACAGAGTCGCTTCCTGCCAGGAAACTCAGATCCAGGATCTCTCAATGGGATAACAACTTATTCTTCTAGCTCCCAGCAGGAGTATTTGGCAGAGGAAAAACTTTCATTTTCATGTATGAACCCAGACCATCATTCCTTACTCTCTATTTGGTGGGTGAGTCCAACCCATTATGCCTGGCTCAGGGAAATTCTGCTTTCCCGTAAACCATGGCAAGGAGACAGCAATGATGCAGAGCTGGTTATCCGAGAAAGATGGCCCCTGGTTCACTGCTTAGAATTTCTGACTGCAATGGTTCGCTGCCTCCTTAGACTGACAGGATAATTGCTTGTGCTTATATATTTTAAGATGACACTTCTTTCCAGAAAGGCCAAGCAAGTAAGACAAGAGTCAGCAACTAAGAAAGTATCATTAAACCACATATTCATCCAAAGCAAACAAGAGCTGAGATGGAAGAAAGAACTATTTGGATTTTAAAAAACAAAGTACTTACTGAGGTATGTATCCAAAGGTATACAGTTCTCCAGGTCATCCGTAGGTGACAGAAGTTCACAAATACTTTCTGCTGTGTGGTCTTCAGGGAATTTGTTCTGGTCCCCACATTTCTTGAGAATTTCCACACAGTCTGATCTTGAAAAGGAAAATACATAAGTTTAGGATTTGAGGAACCTTCTCTTATTGTCAATTCTGCTCCTGAAGCTTTCTGGGAGTGGGTTTCCATAACAGTGTTTCACAGCTGGGCAGGTGCGAGCATGGCAGAAGAGAACAGGAGTCACAGCCGGCTTTCGGTTGAATAGCAAGTCATTTATTACACTATCAAATCATTCCTTTCTCTTAAGAACCAGAGATTAAAGGCCTTGCTCAAATTTTATCTGTACTGTGACTACCATCAGTGAGGCTGTCCCCTCTTTGAAAGGATATTAATTTAGGCTAGTCTGATTTGCTCTTTGCAAAACTATGTACATCGTTTTTCTCAGGACCTTATGCGTGCTTGCTTCTTCCTTCCTCCTTCCCTCCCTTCTTTTCTTTTTTAAAAATCTCTTTTTAGTTATCAACTTAATGTGCTTGATCTGTAACAATTAGAAGGTCCACTTCTTTAAAATTCTCCAAGTCTTAAATAGAATTTGACTCCCAGAAGTTTTCTATGCTAAGAGTCTATAATTTCCCACCTGTTTACGCCTGCTTGTCACCCAACAGTTACCCCTGGTCTCTCCCCTAATTGGGTCATCCCCAAGTCATGTCAGAGGACAGGTCCTGAACCCCGGACCCTGGTTAAGGTTGAAGCAATCAGCAGGCAATCAGTCACTAAGCGCTCAGCAGCAACGAGACACACACCAACAAGTTAGGGGCTGGATATTAACTTGGTTTTGGAAAAGGTTTTTGAAAAAGAAAAATGCTTGAGGAGCAGCTGACATTGAATACAATACAGTTAATGCTTCTGCTGTCACCCACCACAGAGCCTTTCATCTCCACTTTGTCCTGGATCTCCTGGGCAAACCATTCACAAATTTGGAGCAGGCCCTAATGACTGTACTCACTAACTCACTCCCTCACCAAACATCAAACGCCTATTGTGTGTCAGGCTTGTGCTAATCCCTGATGAGGAGAAAAAGAGTAAAGAGGATACAAGAAAAAAGCATGTGAGAAAAAGGAACGCCTCAAGGAGAGCAATGTGGAACAGAACATAAGACAAACACACAAATTGAAATTTAAAAATAGAATTGTACATTGAAGCTACTCAATAAATGTTTATTCAATCAAGTTCCATAACAGAAGTACAAATAAACATCTATAGAAATGTGTAATAAGGATAAATTACTTTCAGCTGGAGACATCTGGGAAGCTTCCCTAAGACTGGTAATTGAGGGGCTAAGAAGGACAGGCAGTGGGCAAATGGAAATAGGGGAAGAAAATTTCAAACAGAGGAAGAAAAGTAGGAAAGTATTTGACCTGCGAGGGTGATGGGCAAAGGTTAGTAGTGGGAGAGAAAACTCTAGTAATAGGCTATGGGTGAAGATAATGGCAGGTCTGAACCGAAACTGGAGTCTGTATAATGAAAGAAACTTACTTGCAAATAATACTTCCCCGGGATTTACTGTGACAAGGTTTAATCTGCAGTGAACAGGCTATTGCTTTCCACATTTCTGGCTGACACTTTTTAATGTCAAGAACAGGGATGTTGATGAACGGCATCTTTATGCTTCCTTTCTCCCATAGCTTCATGTCATTCATGGCTCCTTGATCTGACTGAGCATTACAGCTCCTAAAAAGCTCCGTTGGCCTGAAGAAAAAAAAAAAGCCAGAGGGAATCAAGAGGCAATTATTTTCCAGAGAGAAGCAATGTGTAAAATCCTGACATACTAATCAGGCAAATCTGATTTTCTTAAAGAAGAAAGTACATATAATCCATCAAAATATCTCAGTTTAGAGTGTATGAAGATTCAATGTAGACACAATCATTAAGATTCTGATGGCATGTTTTCTAAAACAACTTTTTGTGAAACAATTAAAAAACTCCAAAATGCTGTGGACTGACATCTCCCCTGTCCATTTCTTTTATTTCACACAATATGAGGGGGATACACAAAAAACAGAATTATCTTCTGGAGGGTGGGTCCCTTGTAGTACAGGCTTTCTCTACTAGGTTTGTGTTCTAGGACTCCATCTGTATCAGTATACCAGCTGGCGTTGTTGGGAGAGGCTGAATTAAGCCTCAGTGAATTTTGTTTTGAAGACTCTTTCAATGAGTTTGCCCACTTCATGATGGGTGAATTACTAGAGCACCTGCCCATTCCATGCTGAGTGTTCAGTGGTCTTTGACCAAAAACAGCATGACCCCTGTGCTCCACCCTCCCTATTCACCCAAACTTGCCCCAAGCGACTTTTTTTATCTCCCTGGATGAAAAAAATCCTCAAAGGGAAACAGTTTTCCCTTTAGAAGAGCTGAAACAAACAAACAAAAACAGCAAAAGTACTAAAAAGCATCAAAATTGACAAGTTCAACTACTATTCTGAGCAGTGGGAAAACATCTCAATAGGTGTATTGCAGCAAATGAAGAGTACTAGAAGGTGACCAAAGTTTAAACATGTAAGAATAAATAGACAATTTTTATAAACAAATTCCATTTGGGGGGGTACCCCCTTATAAATAAGCCTCAATTTAAAAATTTGAGATATAATTTATAAAAGTAAAGTGCACAGATCTCATGGGTGAAGTGTTCTGGGTTTTGACAAATTTGCACATCCATCTCAGCACACCAGAATGAATTAAGGTGTGTCTCTATCACATCTGGAAGTGCCCGAGTATCCCTATTCAGCCAGCGTCCTCCCTGCTGACTGTGCCCCAGAGGCCACTGTCACTTGCACTTGTATCATCATAGAATTATTTTGGCTGTTCTAGAACTTCATATAAATGGATTCGCATTGTATGGGCTCTTAAGTCTAATGTCTTTAATTAAATGATCACTTTCAGATTACATGATGCTGCTATGTATATAAATTGTTTTCTGGTTTTTTTTTATTGTTCAGTATTATTCCATTATCCTCACAGTCCTCAAACTCTTTGATCTCAGGACCCATTTGCACTCTAAAAACCATTGAGTTTTCAAAAAGCTTTTGTTTATGTGGGTTATATCTACCAACACCAATCACATTCTAAATAAAAACTGAGAGATTTGAAAAGTAGATATTAGTTCATCTTTTTTAAAGATTTATTTATTTTTAGATAGAGGGGAAAGGAGGGAGAAAGAGAGGGAGAGAAACATCAATGTGTGGTTGCCTCTCGCCCACCCTGTACTGGGGACTGGGCCCCCAACCCAGGCATGTGTTCTGACTGGGAATCGAACCAGCAACCCTTTGGATCACAGGCCAGCACCAGGTCCACTGAGCCACATGAGCCAGGGCAAAACGTAGATAGTAATTCACTTTAAATGACAATAACCCTGTTAAATGTTAATATAATATTTTTATGAAAATAAGCGTATTTTTAAAAACAAAAATTTGTGAGAAGGGTAGACCTGGTTTACAGTTTTGAAAATCTTTATAATGTCTGGCTGAATAGGAGACAGCCGAACGTGCATAGCTGCTCCTGTATCCAAACTGTTCCCATATCACATGTTTTATAGCATCCAGAAAACTCCACTGTTCACTCATGTGAGAATGAGAGTGGAAGGGAAATAACATCTCGGTATTTTACAGTAGTTTTGATCCCACTGGGTTTGGGGGACCCTGGACCACACTTTGAGAAACACTAGTTTATTCATTCACCTGTTTGTAGACATCAAGGCTGTTTCCAGTTTTCATGTCTCTTTTCAAGGCTATGAATGGCACTGCTGGGCCATAACTTTCTAAAAATACCAAACTGTTTTCTAAAGTGGGTATTCCATTTTAAGCTCCCATTAGCAATGTATGGAAACTCTACTTGCTTTGTGTGCTTTCAGTCTTTTTACTTGTAGCTATTCTTTTAGTGTGTAGTGGTATTTTACTGTTTTTTAAAAATATTTTATTTATTTATCTGTAGAGGGGAAGGGAAGGAGAGAGGGAGAGAAACATCAATGTGTGGTTGACTCCTGTGTGTCCCCCACTGGGAACTGGCCTGCAGTTCGATCGACTGGTTGGATTCCCAGTCCTGTGCCCTGACTGGGAATTGAATCGCGATCCTTTGGTTGACAGACCCCCGCTCAATCCACTGAGCTACACCAGCCAGGGCTATTTTACTGGTTTTAATTTGTATTTTGCATGACTAATGATAATGAACTTTTTCATATACCTCAATGGTTATTATGTCTTCATCCTTTTTAAGAAACTTCTAAAAATGGAATTTATTGAGGTGACACTGGTTAATAAAATTACATAGGTTTCATATGTTTCTGCCCAGTTTTTAATTTGGTTGTTTGACATTTTACTATGAGGTCACAGGAGTTGCATATTCTGGACACTTGTCCTTTGTCAAATGTGCATGTGTGCATGTACACGTGTACCATGGTAAATATTTTCTCTGACTATGGTTTGCCTTTCCAAACTTTAAATGGGGCCTTTCAGTGAACAAAAGTTTCCTGTTGAACTCTAATTAACTTTGTCTTTTATAATTAGTGTACATTGTTTTGATTTTGTTGCTTTATAATATCTTAAAACCAAGTACTGGGAGTTCTTCAAATTTATTTATTTATTTATTCATTATTTTTTAGAGAGAGGAGAAAAGGAGAAGAAAGAGGAGAAAAACATCCAAGTGTGAGTGAAACATCGATTAGTTGCCTCTTGCACACCCCCAATGGGGGACCTAACCTGCAACCCAGGCATGTGCCCTGACTGGTAATTGAACCAGTGATCTTTTGGTTTGCAGAATGGTGCTCAATCCACAGAGCCGCACTGGCCAGGACAAATTTATTTTTAAAAAACTGTTTTAGCTTTCTAGGTCCTTTGTATTTTCATATGAATTTGAAAATTAGCCTAGCAATTTCTATTTTAAAAAGCGCACTAGAATTTTGATTTGGATTATACTAAATCTAGAGATCAGTTTCAGGAGAATTAATATCATAAGAATATTGAGTCTTCTAATCCACAAACATAGTCCCTCTCTCCATTTATTTGCTGACTTCAATGTCTTTCTAAAGTTTTCTGGTTTTTAGTGTAGAGTTCTTGCACATCTTTTGCTAAATGTATCACCATGTAGTTCATGTTTTTTGGTGCAATAGTGTAAATATTTAAATACATCTCATTTTCCAATTATGTATTGCTAATACACAGAAATACAGCTGGCTTTTGTATGGTACCGTTTTATCCTATGGCTTAATTAAATGAAAGGGTTTAAGGGGAGTTTGTGTGCAGATGTTGGGGCACCTCCTTTTCTGGTTTCCTCCTTTCTGGGATGTTCCACTTCCATATCTAGCCACTCAGGTAGCCCCAACCGCTGATTTCTTAACTCCTCAGTCTGAAGCTGCTGCTTTTTGCTTGGATTCTATACGCCATGTAAGGACACTGAGAGTGCCCATGAAGGAAAAACTGGATGAGTGTGGCTCTCACTCAATGTAGTTTCTGTCTTGCTGGAGATGCAGCCCCCCTCCTGCTTTGGGTCACTTTTTAATGCCTTTAAAACAGTTGTTTTCTAATATCCTGTGCAGAGTTCGTAATTAGTATTGGCAGCAGTGTTAGTCTGATACAAACTACTCCACCATTAACTAGAAGCTAGAGTTACTGTATCCAAGTTTAACTTCAAACATTTCACAGATTTCACATTTACTCAATATTATTGGCTAATATTCTATCACCAGTTATAAAGATATCCCAATTTTCTTACTCAAAAAATAATAATCTGTATACTTTTAAGAGGATAGGAGTGTTTTAGCTAGAGGTAAACATCCTCTGAACTCCCTTCTGGCCCAACTGAATGATTCTTGTCCTTCTTGCCCTCCTGATCTCCGGGCTGCAGCTCATGAGACCAGCCTCCTCTTCTTTAGAAACTCTCCCGCTCCGGTTTCTCTGATATGGAATTCTCTATGCTTCTGGATGTCCCTTTTCTGTTTTCTTCACTGTTTCTTCAGCCATTCATTCAGTTCTTAGCCCTTATTTTTCTTAACCATACATGATACCTTTGGAAAAATACCTATTCAAATTGCTTCTGTAATGAAAATATTTTGTATGAAATAGGGGACTCACTGAATGGGACCTCACCCAGAGTGAAGGGTCTTCAGAGTAAACTGACCACAAGAGGGCAACTGAATTCTAGAAACTTGAAGTATCCTTAGATTAGAAGGAACTTTGCTATGGTGCATCCTTTGCCAAAGGTGATTTACCACATGAAATACAGCATTTAAAGATGAAATTGTAAAGAAAAACTATTTCCTTTTAACTTAGCTAAACCAAAATCAGAATATAGTAGTTTTCCCTTTATTTAAAAACAAGATAACCAATGAGAAAGTATTTCCATTCCATGTACAATAATTTGCTCCTACCTGTTGTTGAAATTAGTACAGTAAGTAAGGTTTCTACAGCCCAACTGGCAAGGTTCCCGAACATCTGCTAAACAGGTCAACATGGACACTTCTACTGGATTATATTCACAAAAGTGATCAAACTCTTGCCAGCTCTGTGTATTGCCCCAGCTCATGCTATAAAGTTTAGTGCATAGTTCCCTGAAAAAAAAAAAAAACACAAATGCAAAAACAGAAAGACAAGCCAAATGAATACATATTTGATTTGCATAAAATTCAAACACTATAAACTTTACTTCGGAATATAAGTGGGGAAAAAAGTACAGAACCAAAAAACTAAGATCTCCTAGAATTTAAAGTCAGAAAAAGCAATCTTTTCAGTGATTTAGTCTCTTTTTATCATCTATCTCTTTCCTTTTCGCCACAGTTGCTAGAAAGTTCAGTGCTAAATTTAATGTTTAATTCTAGTATCTGTACATCCTTGTTCTTGGCAAAATTATTGCCTTCCAAATTTCTGATCTCTCTTTTACCTTTATGTAAAGTAAGTTAAGCATACAGTTTTGTCTCCACAAAGATATATATCACTCTATTTATGTTCCAATCACAGAAGGCAAAACTGTGACATGGTCCTCAGACATCGTTTTAATAAGCATTACAAATTTAGGGTTCACTAGTTCCTCCCTGAAAAACTATCCTGAAGCCACTTATATACCTGAAGATGCATAAAGAGTCTTTATGTAAAGGCTTATGAATTCTAAAACTTCTAAATACTATTGTAGTTAATACATGACATTCTTATTTTGAGTACTAAATCATTACAAAGCAACTTGACTACATATATATGAGGTCTGTCCAGAAAGTATCCAGCCATGTGCTATGAAAAAGAGACATTTATTGAAAAAGAAATAAGAAGCTTTGTACGTAGGCAATGACACCTCAGTCCCCTTCAGAATAGGCATCTTGGAACCTCACACAGTTCTCCCAATCACCATCAGCTGCCCTGTTGTATTTTCCCAAATCTCAATCACAGTTTGAAATTTCTTTCCTTTGAAAGATGATTTTAGTTTGGGGAACAGCCAGAAGTCACAGGACACTAAATCTGGGCTGTAGAGAGGCTGAGTCACATGGGTGATTTGATGTTTCAGCAAAAATCTCTGCACAAGATATGATACATGAGGGGGTGCATTGTTGTGATGAAGCTGCCAATCACCAGTTACCTATAGCTATGGCCTTCTGAATCTTTCTACTAGCTTCCATGGAGGAATGTTCAAGCTTAATGCAAAATCTGATGCAGATTTGTTGCTCTATTCATTCGGTCATTTTGAATGCAATGGTCACACAGCACACATGCTCACTCAAGAGAGTCTACAGGCCCCACTGACTAGTACAGTGAAGTCATCATTGTTCACACATGCACATTCCAGTCCACTCTCCTTGGCTGCCAGGTTACATTGATGTCATGCACACTGTTCTCATTATATTAACAATGCCTGGACTTTTTCCAGACAGACCTCGTATAGCTAAAATAATATCTGTACTATTTCTAAAGTGTTTTGACACACTATATTAATTAGCTTAATATTTAAAATGTATAAATGTAATAAAAATATCAACACATGTAATATAAAGCAGGTAGTATAAAACTTTAATACCATCGAAATATGCAAACTCCCAAGAAAAATTCTCCACTCCTGTAACATTTTGATTTACATAATTACCACTATGAGGAGGGTATGTTTACTTTTATAAGTTCACTCATTCGCTCTATCAGTGTTTACTGAGTGCCTACTTTGTGTGAGGTCCTGTTCAAAGCACTGGATATGCAGCGGTGAATAAAGAGACAAGCTCTCTGCTCTCAATGGAGCTTACACATCAGGGGGATGAGGAAGGTGAGATAGAATTACCTTGATCTAGAAATTAGTTCCTTCTCTAGTACTTAACAGTCTCTATGACCTTGGAGAGACTGTTTAACATCTCACAGTTTTCTGTATTTAAACAGGAATTATACAAATTGAGATAGCAATCATCTAGGTTTCACGAGGACAAAACAAGATGGAAGTGAAAGCATTTGGTAAACAAAAACCTCACGTTGAAAGGTAAGGGAGGGCAAACGGAGTTTCGTCCTGAATGTCTCCTGACACTACACAGCCGCTCCAGTCTTCAGTGACTTTAGGCCACACACTCCTCTGTGGATATTCAGAGAATTATTCAGCATCTCTTCCATCAATAATTTATTAATTCCTATCAGCAACCCAATTTCCTTAACTACAGGACCCACTTAACTTCTCTTCAAGCTCTTCTGTTAACTTTCTTTGGATATTTTCCAAGTTTTTCACCTCTTTGGTAAAGTCTGATGAACTATATCCTAGGTATACTTTTTTGCTAAAGGTCCATCCAATTTTGAAACCACAGGAAAGATGGTTTCACTTCTGTTATGTCAGATTCATTTCAGGATATTCTATTAATATGTGGCCCCTTTTCACCCAAAATATCTCTAATAAAGTAAACTTCTATTTCACTTGTGTTCTATTTATGACCTTAGTTACCTCCATTTATTCTTTTTAATTAATTATTTAGTATCCTCACCTGAGGACATGCCCATTGATTTGAGAGAGAGGGGATGGGCGGGAGGGAGAGGGTGAGAAACATCGATCAGTTGCCTCTAGGGGATTGAACCCATAGTCTAGGTACATGCCCTAACCGGCAATCGAATCTGTGACCTTTCAGTTTATGGGACACCACTCCAACCAACTTAACCTCACTGGCCAGGGTTCTCCTTTTATTCTTGTCTCTAGCTTGTGCTTCCAAATATTTGCACTGTGAATTTTTTATCTTTAAGTGTACCACCCAAATGAATGCCTACACATTGCTACCTAACTTTGAGTATAAATGTCAACCCAGGCTATTTACTAATATATACAAAAAGCTAGTTAAATTCAAAGTTTCATAATTTAAGAAAGAGAATATCCCTTAGATGTCCTATGAAAACATCCTCTAAACTGTAAGCTCACTTAATATCCTCAAGTACAGAACCCACATTGCATTATTTAAAAATATTTATTGCTCTGCCAGTGCTAATCCTCTACACCTCAAAACACAGTGCTTTCAGCACTCAATGTACAAAAACAATGTTTTATATATAGTGGACCCCCTTAAATGAGGGCGTATGTGGCAAGACCACCCCAGTGGATACTGAACCCTGTGATATACTATGTTTTTGCTTATAGGTACATATTGTACCTATGATAAAGTTTAATTTATAAGTTAGGCACAGTAAAAGATTGATAATAACTAATAATTATAACATACTGTAGTAACAGTTATGTGAATATGGTTCCTCTCTCTCAGCAAACTAGCATGAATTCATTTCTTCTTCATGATGTCATTGATGAAAGATTTGTTCTTTCCATAGTTCTTAGCAACCTCAGGATATGATTTTTTTTCTTTCCTTATTAAGTTGAAAACTTCCACCTTTTCACTTAAGGGAAGCATTTGATGGTTTCTCTTTGGCATATCCAAATTGTCAGCATCACTACTCTTGCTTAATTAAGCACTGCAGCTATTAAGTAAAATAAGGGCTATTTGAACACAAACACTGCAATACCGTGATAGCTGACCTAATAATAACCTAGATGGCTACGAAGTGGCTAATGAGCAGGGAGCGCATATAACCTGGAGATGGTGGACAAAGGGATGATGCACATCACATCCCGAGCAGAGTGAAGCAGGACAGAGTGGACGGCATGAGATATCATCATGCTACTCAGAACAGTGTGCAATTTAAATCATGAATTATTTATTTCTGAAATTTTCCATTTAATATTTTCAGACCATGGCTGATCCAAAGGTAACTGAAACCGTGGAAAGCAAAACTGCAAATAAGGGGGGACTACTGTATACACGATGCTCAATAAATACTTGCTGGATAAAAGAATGAAAGATTTCACATCTTCTAAACTCGAGTTTACACAATGCAAGAATATAACAGATACTTGCTAGACTTAATTGAAGTGCTATTTTCTACTGATTTTAATAAAGGAAAATGAGATACCGACCTACACGTTGACGTGTTGGCTTTAGAACAGCAGTGCAATTTAGCCCCATCAAGGCCTGTGGAGGGTGGAGGGTGTAGAGTGACGCCAGGGTGAACGGACTGCGAGCTTTCAAGAAAACACTGCCAAAGGGGGTCCTGCGGCAAGGGCTGAGTCTTACAGCCCTCGATGAGGCCGTCAACGATCTCCATTTCTGTTTTTTTGGACATGAGAATTCTCTTGCAGGCATTTTGACAAGCATGGTCTTCAGCTCTGTCACAGCAATATAAACCTACATTGTCAGGACAGAAGTAGCTTAATTAGCTGGTTGGATGTCATGTGCTCCTCAGAACAAAAGCACATGGTGGTGGACTGGAAACCCTTACTCCTCCGAGTCAGATGTCAATACCTGCAGTATACAAGGCCTACCAAATTCTCTATTACTTTGCAGTAGAGTAAATAAAGGTATTTACTAGGTGTGCCTATAGACGAGGTATCTATTACTAGAACTCACCACTATCCTCAATCATGGGGTCTCTGGCACCATTCCTGCATAAATGAAAGGTCATCCTACACCTAAGAAGTCCTTACGTGCAAAGTATTCTATGTTCCTGGAAAAGGTATTATAGATCAGACTGGAATTGTTTCATGCCAGAAATGACATCCTAAAAGGGATTACATCTAGACATGATGAGAGAGAGTGATGACTATTTTTAATAGCAATAACCACACTTCATCACACTCTGGGATAGAAACCTTTTGTGTGTCTATGCAAGTTAATTAATCTAAATTGTAATTCCAATAATACAATTGCAAACTCTGGCAAGATATCAGTTTGTTACTATCTTTGATTTTCTACAAAGAGTCAAAAAGTTAAAGAACACTTTCAGCCATACTATAGAATTCAGAGGGCTTCTTTGAAGTAGTTTTCTCAGGTGTCTTGGACTTTCTAAATAACCTTTTCAGACATATGTTTGTACTTTCTTTTCCAGATTTCCTATGTATTGGCACAGACATTCTATACGGTTGTTCTAGTCTTTAAAGTCTTTCTGCTTTGTCTTCTGGTTTCATCATCTTAGCTCCAGCAACACCTCTGTGTGGCCTGAACGTCAGTGAAGACTGCAAAATGCATGGTTACTCGTGGCAAAGGCTTCATCCTCTTGATTCTCGTCACACAGACACGCCACAGGACGCCATAAACCTCAGAGCTGTGCTTCAGATGATGGACAAACAAGGCACATGGCATTGCTTTTGAGTTTATAAAAATAAGTCTATCCCAGTATAAATCAAAACACTGGCATCTGGCTTATAGACCCTTATAGAACTTATCCTAGTAAGTTCTTTGTTAGTTGGTTAATTAGTTCTTTAAACTTTGATAACTTCTAAATGAAGAAAATGGATTATAGTATGTACAAGCTAACGTTTTAAAAAGTATCAGGATCTCTTCTCATATAGTGATGTTATAAAAATAATAACTGTTTAATGGTACAAATTCTAACATTACAGATACATATGATATGGAACATATAGGTATATAACTAAAAATGTATCACACTACACACTTAGTTTTGTAACTTTTTTTTGGCTTATTGTATCTTGGACTTCTCTTTAAACACACTTTCTTTATGTTGGTTGTATAGTGTTATTATTATACAAATACATGATTTATTTAATCACTTTTAATACCCTATTCATCAATACCTTATTGATGAATATTTGGGTTATTTCTAATTTTTCTCTTATTATTTTCTCACCAATGTTATAGCAAATATCCTTTATATGTGTAGATAAACTTTTGTAAATTTGTAAGTTTTGTTGAAAGACAAATCTGAAGAATGGAATTGCTAAATTAAAAGGTATAGTTATTTAAAATTCTCATGGTCATAACCCAGCTTCCTGCCTCGCCCAAATCTCCACAGCAACAAATTTTACCAACTCAGAATACAAAGTGCCTTCCCGGCTCCGTCTTTCTTGGCATATTTTAGCTGTGACAGTGATGTCCACTCTGCGAAATCTAAACACCAAAGGAAGTCTGGTGTGTCCCAAATGCCCCAGACTGCAGATATCTGTAAGATTTTACTTCCTTTTCACAAGTTATTTTACCAAAAATTGCAATGAGAATGTGTCCCTTTTACTTACTGTCTGTTGGGTTCCGCATTGGATAAGATTGGGTATAATTGTTCACACAGTGTATTAACTGTGGACTAATAGAGGCACAATAATTTTCCACTGCTTTGATCTGAGATGGACCAGGAGAAGAGTCTGTTCGAAAAATGGCTTGACAGTACTCGCGGCAGTTTGTGTGATGGCCCGCATAACTGCAACAAACTGAGCCCACTGGGGGAGAAAAGGAGGTGACATTGAGATGGAAACAGCTATTTGCTAACATTAAATCATCACAATAATGACACAACAACACGTGTCTTTTTGAATTTGAGAAACAAAACCATGCCATACAAGACAAGTACTTAACGTCAGCACTCCTGTCGGCACTGCCATGGCCACCAATATAAAAAAGTCACTATCGGCCAACTTATAGTTTAGTCCAGTGGTTTTCAGCAGGAGCAATACTCTAACATCCCCCTGGGAGAATTTGAATGCATGTGGAAATGTCTCCCCAGGCTGGTGTAGCTCAATGGATTGAGTGCAGGCCTGTGAGCCAAAGGGTGGCCGGTTTGATTCCCAGTTGAGGCACATGCCTGAGTTGCGGGCCAGATCCCGGGTAGGGGGCGAAGTGCAAGAGGCAACCACACACTGGTGCCTCTCTTTCTTTCTCTCCCTCTCTTTCTTCCCCTTTCTCCAAAAATAAATAAAGAAAATCTTTTTTAAAAAAAAGGAGTGAAGACTTTGTTAGTTAAAAAAAAAATGTCTGTTTCTCACGATGACTCGGGGACCACTGCTGCCATTTGGCACATGGAGGTCAGGGCTATTAAATGCTCTGCAACATACGGGACAGTCACGTCAGCCAAAACTGCCCCCTAATGCCAGTGGCGCTCATGTTGAGAACCACTGGAACGGCTTCTTGCCACGTTAGATCTGTGGAGATTCACAAAACAAAGCAAAGCAAAATAAAACAAAACCCCAAATGTCTCACATTTATAAAATAGGACCAGTGAAAAGTAGATATCAGGATCATTTCATAAATTTGACAATTATATAACTGTATGTCTTGAAACACAAATCTAAAAGTTCTAAAATGTTTGAACATCTGCAAGAATATGCCTTAAACAGAAACAGTCTTCACCTCACAAGTTGTTTGATCTGCTTCAATTTTGGGAAGTAAAACCCACATTTGATTCTCCATTAATGTATTTTTAAAAATTAAGAGGACCTTTAAGGTACCTGGGGAGAGTTGGATGAGTGGCCAGGGCGTGGGGTACAGATGTGGGATTTATAATGGAAAAGAGCAAGAGACACTCAGCGGGGCCAAGGGGTCTGTGGGAGGCTAACGGGAGACAAGGCAGAGGTATGGCAAGAAAAGACTAAGAGAAAGGCAGGTAGAAAACCTCTGATAATTACCAGAGACGGTTATGGAGGAACTAAAATCAGATTTCTGAATTCCACAGACCAGGTAATAAGGAGGGAATTCTGGCAATTTCCAGAAATAGTAAAGATAAGGATAAAATCATATACAAATTAACTAAACTAGGAATGAACTAATGTAGGACAGGCCTCAGTTTCCTGGGCAAGGACACAGTTTCATACCTATTGTGTCATGTAAGTTTTTTTTCCATGTAAGGTTTTGAATTAACTACTACCAAACTTACTGTGTTCATTGATGGATCATTCATTTTCATCACAAAAAGCAATTATTAATGGCTACACTTAACACTGTCAACGTCAGTGAGGATAAAGAGGGGGTGTATGGGGGGTGCTGAGGACAAGAGACAAGTCGAAGCTTATCTTCTAATTCCCTGTTATACTGGCTTCCTCACCAGTGTGGGTGAACAGGAGATTATGTGCCAGAGAGTATTTGGGAAATCTTGAACAAAGCCCTGATAACAAAGGGTGGAAGATAAAGTATAGATAACCAATATTCCTTGTCATACTTCGATATACCCCACTGCTCAGCTAACCTAAACTGACTCTTTATTCCTCAGATGTGTTGCCTATCTCTAACTGCTCTCAGTGTTCCCTTCGTCTGGAGTGCCCTTCCCCAATCTCCACTCTTAATGTCTTGTCTGTCCTTCAAGGCCCAGCTCAGCCACCAACTCCATGAAGTCACTCTCAGCACCCCTGTCGGATGTGTCCCCTTTCCTCTGAACTCCCACAGATAGTGTCACTTACATCAGTGACACTACCCCATAGCCTCCCTGTCCTGGAGCTTTTGTGTACAGGGTGTGTTCCCTATCGATATGTATTTGCCCCGCACAGAACAAGTAGTCAATGAACATTTGTTGAATGAACTGAGAGGCAGCCCTTGGCAAGTGCAACACCGCATCATGTGGGAGTACTTAACTTCTGAAGGTGACCCTATTTACTCAGGTGAGATGTGATCTTCCTCTAACATATCTAGCACTGGTATCTGATTTGTAAATCTGCAACTAGGACATGCGCACAAATGGTCCGAATACTCCAGAGGAAAGTGCCTATCGGGAGAATCCTGCTGTGCACATTCCTTCGGATGGTTTACTAACAGCCTAAGTTGTAATGCCAGGGTCTTGGCAATATTTATAACAGCTAAATCATATTCTAGAAACTGTATTTTGCTCTTTGGACTATATATAACCATCGATAATATACTTACTTTCATTTCTGCTAATGCAATTGAAAAGAGCATTCTGTAAATTAAAAACAAACAAACAAATTAACAACCATACTGAATTTCTAATTTTATTCTACTTTATGGTTATACGGAAATCAGGATATCAAACCATTTAATTCTTCTTTAAATCCTATGAGCTTCTTGTAGATAGTGGCTTAATCCTTTCATCTTTGTACCCCAAGAACAGTGTCTGATACAAATTAGCTCTATCAGTTTGGGGTGTATAAGTTCAACAAATATGGAGTAAATAAATGAATGACAGATGCAAAGGCAACTGACACAGACACTGCCCCCAGGAACTCAGGAGTGTTGCAGTGTGCTGGGATCAGCCTTCAAAGGAGGTTATGCAGGGAGGCTGATTTGCAGTATTTGCAAATATTCATGGCATCAATACCTCCCTCGTGGCTGCTTTCAAGTTAAAAGCTGGTTTGCAAAATTCCTGAATATTTAACAATCAGTTCTCCCTAGCTGGTGGGAGGCCACTTCCAGCATATTACTGAATGGTATAATAGGATGGATTCGGAGAGTTTGGTCTACACTTCCACATAAAACAAACAGGTGGTACAACTAAAATTAATAAATTTCTTCAATGGCTCCCCTATTGGATAAAGTTCATGTTCCTCAGTCTGGTGTATCAAGCTTTTCTCTACCTAGCCTCTGACTCTTCCCTCCCTCATGCAATTTATAATTTCCAAGATCGGCCATGCATTTTATTTGAGGGAGTGACGTGACTGTATTTGGTCTTTCAGGAGACAACTGTAGGACTGGACATAGCAGAGGAGAGGAGAAATTAGAGATAGGAAAGCTAGTTGGGCAGCAGTTACAGTTGTCCAGAAGAGTGGTATAAAGGCCTGTGCTAAGACAGTAATTGAGGATCTGGAAAGGACACTGATTTAAGATATATTTTGAAGGCAAACCTTTAGGGCTTGATAGCCAATTACTGGTGGGAAGTGGTGAGAAAGAAAGAAATAGGCAATACCTTTTAGGTTTTTTTTTTTTCACTCCTTAGTTTTTTGTTGTAGACCACTCTGCCTGGTTTTAGGAATTGTATCTTGATCCCTTGTGGCTAAGGGTGAGGGAAGACCTTTGGAATGCGAGTCTGACCTTTGGAATGGGCAGGAGACAAAGCCTGTCTCTGGTAGCAAACGCTGCCTCAGTTTCCTCTCCCTGCCCCCAAAGCTTGGTTGGAAGTCAGTGACAAGTAAGACCCCTCACAGCAGGGGGCAACCTAAGCCAGACTCAATCACTTGGGAGGCCTTCATGGAAGGACTGGGGTGGGGGGAGCTGCAACAAAGAGGGAGCAATGGACTCTTGCCCTGGCTTTGAGATAGCTCATGTTCTCTGGGAAAAGTGCTTCCTGGCTCTAATCCCGTTAAACCTAATACCTGTTGGGGAGAGGCGTAGCTCCTTGCCTTACTAGAGCTAGAGCATGCCCTGGGGAAAAATCTGGCACCACAGAGACTTCCTGATAAACCTGTGAAATCTGCCCTGCTAAGAGTGCTTTCATTCATATGTTAAGGGTTCCAGCAGGAAACCCTAAAACTCTGTTCCTGACAGACTCTGAAGCCCTCAGATTTCTTTGAAATGTTATCTACTGTTTGATCCTTGCTGCCCTGTGTATTAGAACCCAACAAAAGGCCCTGGAGGAGGGGGCTCGAGGACTTTTTCTCCTCAGAGCAACTGGCCACTGCTCACTTCTCCTCCCCAAGCAGATCTCATCATGTCTCAGTCATATTCACCCTCATCCATGGCAACTGGGGGGACTTGCGAGAAAGTCACTCCCACAGTTTTTGTTTTTGTTTTTTTTAGTTTATATATCTGGGAGGACTGTATTGGAATAACTAAGCTAGACATGTAAAAAAAAATGTTTTTGTTTTGGCATGCGTGTGTGTGTGTGTGTGTGTGTGTGTGTAGTGTTAGGAAGCAGAAGGGTAGAGGGAAGGGGAGGTAGAGGAGGTAGGTAGGGTACCAATCAGTTTGGGTGATTTGAAATGCCAACTGAACATCAAAAGTGCACATATCCAGGAGGGATTCAGGAGTACCTAAAAGAAGCAATCAAAGACGATTCTGGAGTTGTCATCACATAAGGGCAATGAAGCTATGGGAGTAGATCAGATCTCATTCAGGTGACTTCTCAGAAGAATAAACCAGATAGGAAATACACTAGCACTGGGAGACTAAATAGGAGTTACTCTCTTCCCCAAACTCTAACACAAAATATGACTAAAGGAAACAATACACAAATGGAATATAATCAAGGTTATATACTACCTTAAGCCAGTACTGCAGGACCTAATAGGTTTCGCTCTTTTTGGAGCTCATCAGCTGCAGGTAACGGCTCAACTTGACTCTCGTATGCTGGGTTGGCCAAAAAGCTTGTTTTTTTCCTTCACATAAGATGGCTCTGGTAGTGCTTAGTTGTCTTTAACTTCATTTGAAACAATTTTGTTAGACTGCATTGTGACAGCTGTCATGTCAGTTTGCATTTAACTTATCAAAATTAGTAAAATTTTGTGTAGCCATTTAAATATTGAAGATGGAAGAAAATAAGCAACATTTCCAGCATATTATGCTTTATTATCTCAAGAAAGGTAAAAATGCAACTGAAATGCAAAAAAAAAGACCTGTACAGTGTGTGGAAAAGGTGCTGTGATTGACCAACCATGTCAAAAGTGGTTTGCAAAGTTCTGTGCTAGAGATTTCTCTCTGGATGATGCTCCACGGTTGGGGAGACCAATTGAAGTTGATTGTGATCAAGTGGAGACTTATTGAGAACAATCAACATCACTACGTGGGAGATAGCTGACATATTCAATATATCCAAATCAATAAAGTTATTGGTGAAAATGAAAACTGTCTTTTATTTTACGGAAAAAAGCACACCAACTTTTCGGCCAACCCAATAGTATATCTATATAGCATTTTACCAAGCATCCCATTCAGTCTTCTATTTAGTCTATCGTGACAATTCCAGGAGTTTCCTTAGCATTAACTAAAAGAATCTTTACATTTAGGCCCTTGAAGGCTTTGCTGGGGCTTTGCATGATCCTTTTTGCTAAACTCCCCACAGCTGACTGTCTCCCTATTCTTAGAACCACTGCAGCCCAGCCCCAATCGCTCTGAGGCCCAGGAGGCCTCCAGCTATCCAGGGAATCCTGCTAGTACTGATATCTCTAAATGGGACTGTTTCTTTCATCTCTTTTCCTTTATATTTTTTGTAGTAAATCTAGAATCAAGGTTAATTTGAGAGAAAAATGCAACAAAATAAAATTAATACACAGAAATCTTTAAAGCAGCATATTTAATTTTGACATTTCCTGAGAATACACTGCACAGCTGTGCAGACATACACAAACATGTGCCAAACACATGCATCCGGGGGAGGTCCAAGTGTATGGCAGGCTACCCTCTGTGTCACAAGGGGCAGAGGAGGACTATGTGTACACAGTCACCTTTATATGCATAAAATACCTCTGGTTCCTTAAGGAACTGAGTGGCTACAGTACAAGAGGTGAAAGAGACCTTTTGTTATATACCATTTTGGATTTTGAACCATGTGAATATTCAGAAAATAAAATTTGATGCATACCTGCACTCTTCTCTTATGCATTTAGCTGCATGTTGATAAGATAACGCTGACAGAACTGAGCCTAAAACTTCCAAGGCCCACCACCATCTTTGCTCCTGCGCTTCTTAGAGCCTCTTTTTAACATCCTGAGTCTTAATTTTATGTTAGTATTCTACAGACCAGAGCCCTAGTACAGAACATTATTTCTGTTTTGTTTAGTGACTGTTTAGTTTAAAACTTAAATGCCTTAAGATTAAAATGAGTCCTCACAAAAATATCTCCTGACTTTCCTTCATAGTTTCTCATCTTCCTTATGGAAATAACATTAAATAACTGGACTGAAGACAGCTAGAAAGGAAGGAGAGAAATGAAAATAACAGATCTGAATATAAAGGAGCATAAGGAAGAATCAGTAAGGGAAGGAAGAAACAAGTAAAAATGTAAGTCCGATGACAAGTTTGTAGCATTCTACAGCAAATGGGAAGGTGTTTTTATTTATGGACATTATGTTAAGAGAATGGCAGGTAAGGTCTGACATAAAGGTACGAAATGGATGTATCAACCCCAAACTAAAATTTGTCTTGTCAGCCATTGCCAGGTCCCTGGAGGTTCACCACCCTTAGAGCACCTTTATGTTTATTATGTCATTCAAGTAAGAAAATAACTATCAACAGACAATTTAAAAAACCTAACTCGCAGAAAACATGAGTTAGTTTTTGCTTTACTTCTAATCAGCCAGTGTGCTACCTGCATACTGATGGTTTACAGCCAGCATTTGCTCTGATCGTTGGTGCCGGTGGCATTCCAGTTGTTAAATATTTTAAGTATCAACCTTGGTTCTAGTACCACGCATTCATGAACCCCGTGGCCTGACCAGTACTTCTAGGTGGGCCAAGAACCTAGCCTATGAAAATGCACAGAGAACCTGGAAATGAGCATGCTCATAACACTTAAACACATCCACGTCACAGTGGAGCCACTGGTTAATTGGCGGCTCCAGCAAACAGGTATCATGCTGAAAGAATCAGTACTTAAGAATCGTAAATACTGCAGGAAGTATTCTTTCTTAAGTGTTGGTGAGAATTAGAGAACTCAGAGTTGGGAGATTAGTCAAACCTCCTGTCCACTGTGGAAACCATCTCCACCAGTGAGCCTTTGCTCGAACATTTCCAGTGATAGGAAGTTCTCTTTTTCTTGGAACATCTCATTCTACTTTGAACACAGGTATGGTCCTCTCCTACTGAAACACCAGATAAGTATTTGGCTCCTTCTCCTCTAGTTTTCTAAATAAGTGATTTTCAAAACCCAGGTTTCTACCTTTTCTACACTTTTTTTCTTACATAGAGTTTTCTTTCATTCTCAAAAATCAAGGGTTACTTCACAGTTGACTTTGGGCATGGTATCTTCTCCTCTTTCTTAGTCCTATATTCCTAACTACCTCTAAGATATAGGTCTTTACATTTAAAAAGACCTAACACTCGACATACTTTAATTTCTTTAAACAACCTTCCCAGTGTACATGCTATTGCTGTTGTGTACTTTCTCTTTAAAAAAAAAGTCAAGGTGTGCTCTCCCTCCTGGGGAGCCTTTCTTCCCTCACAGGCACACATCTCCTAAACTCTAAGGGTCCCCACAAGACTTGCAACCAGGGAAGCATGCATGGGCAGCAGCGGCTCATTCCAGGCTAATGCCTGAACCTGTCTCCAAGGCCCCCTTTTTTTCTGACTTTTCAGTAAGCCAATAATAGCAGCCCTGCCTGGGCTCATATCTTTCCTATAACATTTCTAGAGAGCCAAAGCAGCCCTGCCCAGGCTTTCTCCTGCTGCTGCTTCTATCCTAAGTTCTTCCTTGTTTCACTGTGCCCAGCTTTAATAAATGTACTCTCAAAATAAAAACATTTAAAAACCTCAAAAATACACTATTTTGAACAATCTGAGTGTGTTGTAACTTACCCACTTTGTACTGTCATCATTCTGTTTTTCTTTTGCATTTCCAATAATTATAGCTATTTTAGAACTTCTTTCACAGTAGGACTTCTGCAAAAGGTCTAATAATGGCAATTCTCTCTTTTTGTTGTCTGGAAATACCTTAACTGCCCTCTTTCTTGAAATTTTTTTTTTGCTGGACATGCAAATTCTAAACTAATAGTTATTTTCTTTAAGAACAGTTTAGGTATATCATTCTACTGTCTCTAGCTTCCTCCATTGCTATTGAGAAATCAACTGTTAGTCTCCTTTATAGGCAATGCCCCTTTTTTTCTGACTGTTTTTAAAAACTTTGGCAGCTCTGGACAGGTAGCTCAGTCGGTTAGAGCATCATCCCGGTATGCCGAAGTTGCAGGTTTCACCCCTGGTCAGGGCACATACAACAAACAACAAATGAATGCATAAATAAGCGGAACAACAAACTGATGTTTCTCTCTCTCTCCCTAAAATCAATAATAAAATCAATAATGAGGTGTGTCTATAATATATGAATTTTAAAAATCCTGCTGGGGATTTGTTTGCTTTAAATACCAAATCTGTTCTGTAATCTTTCTTCTAGTATTCCAATTTCTATCCTCCATTTCCCTTAAACTTTCTTTCAGCCTGTTCCTTTGTGCTCCAATTCCATATAATTTCTTCAGTTCTATCTCCCAATTCACTAACAATAGCTTGACTGGAAAAAAAAAACCAAAACAACAAAATCTTAAATGGCATTAAATTTTTTTTAATTTTTAGAAGATTTTATTTATTTATTTTTAGAGAATGGAAGGGAGGGAGAAAGGGATGGAGAGAAACAATGTGTGGTTGCCTCTCACATGCCCCCAAATGGGGACCTGGCCTGCAACCAGGCATGTACCCTGCCTGGGGTTGAATCAGTGACCTTTTGGTTCACAGACTGGCACTCAATCCACTGAGCCACACCAGCCAGGGCTAAAAATTTTTAACCTTAAAGCCCTGGCTAGGTAGGTAGCTCAGTTGGTGAGAGCATCGGCCCCCTATGCCAAGGCAGTGGGGTTCAAGTCCCATTCAGGGCACGTAGAACAAGCAACCAAAGAATGTATAAATGAGTGGAATAACAGAAAATTAATGTTTCTCTCTGTCTAAAAAAATTTTTAATAAAATAAATGAAAAAAAGTTTATGATTCTAAATACAGAAATATTTTTGCCACTTACGAGTAACTTTTTTTCTTAACAATGACACTATTACAAGAAAAATAAAAAATAAAAATAATTTAACTTTATTCATGTAACTGTATTTCTTAGGAAATCCCCTTAAAAGGGTTTCTGCATCAGCTTACCAGTAAAGATAAACATTAGTTCTTTTAAATATAATCACTCACTCTCCGAATCTCTAATCAAACTACACAAAACCCTCCTTCAGAGTAAATGCTAACCCCTAAAGTTGTAAGCCCAAGGGAATAGTTTACACATCTAGAAGATCACCCCAGGGACCTTTCTAGTGTTAAGGAAGATAGTAAAAGCCCAGTTTTACAAATTATTCTGATGTTGATAAAAAACCAATCCAGTTAAAATAGGCTGCACTGCACCAAACTTACCCAATTCACTTATGACAAAGAGCGTTATCTCTAAACTTCAACAATTATGACAGTGACTTTAATCTGGGGTTTATAATGCAGAACCCTCTTTCTGTACTAAGTGCTCTTTCCTCTCTTTTTATTTATAAATAAAATGTAAGAAATTAAACTGAGTCTTGATCTTGAATAATTTTTAGGTTCAACTTTTTATACGTATAAAAGAACCCTCTTGGTATATAGATTTTTGGAAAATAGTTCTTCATTTTAAGCCAAGTGAGAGGACAGACTCAGAGAAGTAAACTACTCTTAGTATTTCTCTCATAGGACAGTGTTTGTCTCTCTTACCTTTCCTGTCCCGTCCTTCATCAACACATACTGGCAGACTTCCTAGGGCAATGCGGAAATCCAGACAAGAGAAGGAAGCACACTAAAATAATGGAGGACAGGCTACAGGAGATGGACAGTGTCAGACATCATGTGGGAGAGAAGAAGGGATTATCACAGTTAGCCACTTTGTTCAAGAGAAACTAAAACTAGTTATTTCAAAGGTAGAGAAATAAGGAAAAAAAAAGATCTTTTACTTCTTTGTAGTAAGGCTCCTTTCAATAAGAACAGAGGAGAGGTGCAATTAATTTGGAAATTTGTCCTCAGATGAACAGATATAAGTTAGCAAATAGTACAAAGAGACAAAAGATAAATAAGGTTCTCCAATTTAAAAACATTAATCAAGAGATGTAATTATAAGCTTTGAGAGAAGAAAAAATGCATCAGGACTACAATCTATAGGAGTAAAGAAAGTTGTTCATTCTTTCTTCTCCAAGAGAACACAGACTATTAAAAGCAACATGAATGCCAATGTTTATATATAAAAATGATGAATGAGGCATATGCATGTAAGTATCCTTAATTAAATGGTCTTCTACTATGACAAACAGTAATACTGTCACATTTAACTATGGAGTTCTAGAAACAGAACAAAGTAGTCCCAATGAGGAGCCTTTTCACACCAGGGACAATCTTCTATACACATCTGCATGATATGAAACACCTCCATTACCCCTGACCTAATAACTTCCCCATCTAGACACCACAGTGCTTAAGACGCCACCATTGGGAGACGAGGGTCCTTCGGATTTAATGTGAGTGCCTCCCCTAACCCTTAAATGCCAGATCCTAGAAAAATTGAAAGCTATTCACACTAGCAATATGATTTTGTTTCTTTGATTAAAGGTGGTTTATAAAAATGGATACCTAGATGGGTCAAGGGGTAGAAAAAGGGAAAAAGAGAATATGGAACCTAAGAAAAACTATTTTACAATTTTGGATACAACCAGTTGCTTTGTTTTGAAAACATTATTGATTAAATCCTCTGTATATGTGATTTAGGCATTTCATTAAAATTAATGCTTAATTTCAACAAAAGTCAATTGAAGTCATAACATTTCTAAACAAGGTAAATGACATTTTTGTCAAGGCTATATTTTCTGTGAAATAAAAGCCAATTTATGTAAAAATAAATTTATTTTAAAATTTAAGTGATTCTATCAATTCTGATAACACCTGAATATCCAAATTTATTAAATAAAATACATACCTCATATTCTTTTCTGCAAACTTTGGAAATATCATTTTTTGATGATGCCTAAAAGATGACAAATTTCTTCATTAATTGTATTATATGTGCTATTCAGAAAGAATAAGAAAGAACAGAAAAACCTTATGCTCAAATAGTTTGAAGTTCCTCAAATACAACAAACAGTTCACGTAATTTCTTTAAAACAAATATCAGCCCTGGAACCTAACGGATATGCTAGAACTTAACTCTATGGCTTTAATCTCACATAATAACACAGTCCTTTTGTTATTTCAGAAACTAGATAACTTTGAAGGAAATGAATTTTTTTTAGCTGAATTCCACTCTGCAGCAAATTTTCTTGTGAAGCTCTGCCAAGATATTTATATTTTGCTTTTTCTTTAACTCTTCATATTGTAAGTTCTCATAATAACTTTTCCTCAGAAAAGATTCATATATAACAAAGAGGACCAACTGAAGAGGAAAGGCGATGCCTGGCAATCAACAAAAGTTATTTTTGTTAACAAGTTAATGAAGATATTCTCTTAACAAGTTAATGGACATATTATTTCCTCTACAGAGGAGATAATATGAAAACACTGATGCTCACAGAAATAGCAAGTTTTGACCACATTTAAGTATGCACTTGCTATATCAAACAAGTGCAAAAACAAACCACCAAAACAAACCTGCTGAAGGGTAGTTATTCTTCCCTGTGACAGCAGTCTCTACTTAGAGATGTAGTTTTAGGGCGATGGGCTCTGGTCTCCCGTTCTATCAATTAAGCTCATGTAACTTTGAATAGGTCAGCTGATGAGGATGGGGAGAGCATGAAGCAGAATGAACAGGCAACTGTTTTATGTCCCACCAGATCCATTATTTTTCCAATCCTCTGCAACTCAGCCTCATCTGAACGCCTGGAGGAGAGTGGCAGAGAGCTAGGTTGTGTACTACCCAGAGTGTTGCCGTGGTATGTATGAAAATGAAGGGGACACTATGCCTCACATACTCCCATCCAGACGCCAGTAACTAGAAGAAGAAAATGAGAGAAGGCTTTCCAGCTGTGGTTTTAGGTCCACCCAAACTTCCCAGTTAAGTCTACTTCTACCACTTGGCATATGAGGAATCAGACCTGTTTTCTGACAACACTGAGGAACTACTATGAAATATACATCATAAGCAAGAACTCAGGGGCCTGAGTTGGACCAGAGATACGTCAACTCAAAAAGAAGTCGTAATTCACTGTGAGAGTCATGCTCACCTTAGGAGCAGAGAACGGATATGAGAAAATTCTCAGGGGAAACCCTGGAGGAAAGACAGAAGAGAGGATGAAAGCAAAATAGGCCAATGGTTATCAACTGCTCTCATCCAGGTGTACCCCAAATTCACACGGCCATTTGGAGTCACTCAGCACTGACTAAGGATGACCCCAGGCAAAGTACAAAAGGCCTCAATTCCTATATTTTATCTTTAATTTAAAAAAAAAAACCCTTTCAATTACAGTTGACATACAATATTATATCAGTTTCAGGTATACAACATAGTGATAAGACACTTATATAACTTATGAATACTCTTTCTTTGTGTGGCAGAGAGAAGTTGAGAAAGGATAAGAGAGGGCTTATGGTCTTACATACAGCAGCCATAATTGAAAAAACAGCAAGTCTAAAAAGAAGGGGTCTATGCAAGAAATGCTAAATTTGCTGTTTTTGTGGGTCACCTCTCCAAAGGTATAAGGTTAGCAAGGATCAAGAAATATGCACGACCCTGGCAGGTGTGGCTCAGAGGACTGAGCGCTGGCCTGTGAACCAGAGGATCATAGGTTCAATTCCCAATCAGGGCACATGCCTGGGTTTCTGGCCCAGTCCCCAGTAGGGGGCGCATGATAGGGAACCACACATTGATGTTTCTCTCCCTCTTTCCCTTCCCCTCTGTTTAAAAATAAATAAATTTTTAAAAAAGAAAGAAAGAAATGTGCACAGCTAAAGCCCAAACTGCAATCCACGCTTTTTAAGAGCACAGTTGTCCAGTATTACCTGCTTGCATGCCTGTCGACACTCCAAGGTAATAGCCAGTTCACAGCAGCCTAAGCCAACCCATCCATCAGATTTCTTAAACACACCTTAAAAACAAAATGTTCAAGTGTTTTGGTCATAAGTGGCAACAAACACAAAAAACATGCTAAATTAGTTCATGGATACCACAAAAAAATCAAAGTAGGTATCTACAGGAAAATGAGCTCAGACAAAAGAGCCTCAAAATTATCAACCCCCTCCCCTCAGCCTTACTCTCAATGCTATCAGTCTTCTCAGCGTCCCTCACAGCATATGAGCGGGGACCCAAAAAAACCCTAGAATTATCTTCTAGAGGGCAGGCGCCTTGTAGTAAAGGCGTCCCCTGCTGGGTGAGTGTTCTAGTGTCAGTGTACCAGCTGGCGTTGTTGTGAAAGGCTGTGCTGGGCTTCAGTGAATTGTTTTTGAAGATCTTTCACTGAATTTGCCTATTTCATGATGGGTGTTTTACAAGCACACCTGCACACACCACGCTGAGTGTTCCAGTAACTTTTGACCAAAAACAGTATGACCTCTGTGCTCCACATTCCCTATTCACCCAAACTCATCCAAGTGCCTTTTTTAAATTGTTTCCCCAGGTGCAAAAGGTCCTCAAAGGGAAATATTGTGCTGAGGTAGAAGAGGTGAAACAAAAAACAGCAGAAGTACTGAAAGCCATCAAAATCGACATTCAAAAACGGTTTTGCACAGTGGAAAAAACATCCCAATAGGTGTTCTGCCTCAAATGGATGGTACTTTGAAGGGGACTGATGTTTAAACATGTAAGAATGAATACACGACTTTTCATAAATAAGTTTCATCTTTGGGGGGTTGCCCCTCATCATCTCATAATTATTGGGTCCTTTGTTCTGTTCTCTCACCTCTCTGCCCCCTTAAACCCTCTCATTCTCACTCTTGGGTTGGCAGCCTCTGTAAAGGACACACAGGTCCAGGACAGCAAGGAGAAGAAGCCTTCCTCACCTTTAGACTATGAAGCAGAGGCAAAGATTCCAACTTAACGAACAAACAAAAAAGGGCACAAATAGTACTGAATTTAAGTATGTTAAATACATACAGTAGTGTAAAACCATGACACCATTTAAGACTAAAAATAGTACACAGACGGAAATCTCCCGAGAGCCAGGACCACCTTTGATGGTTTACTTCATCATAGGACAAAATACTCTTCTAGTTCAGTTTATGTACAGCAGCTATTTCTCCAACCAAATGACTGTGCTACCAAGAGGTATCATAGTATCACTTTTTATAAAATTATAAAAAGTGTTTTAATGTAGCCTGGCTGAGTGGCTCGGTTGGAATGTTGTCCCGTACACCAAAAATGCTGCAGGTTCAATCCCTAGTCAGGGCGTGCATAAAGGGCAATTGATTGATGCTTCTCTGTCTTCTCCCCCCAACTTCCTTTCTTTCTAAACTCAATAAACATATCCTTGGGTAAAGATTTTTTTTAAGTGTTTTAATGTATGTTTAGATCCCTTTTTGCAATCAAATGTTAAAGAATAACTTCTAGGATAAAATTAGAAGATATAAGTAATAATTATGAAAATAAGAAAAAGATTTATGCTTGTAGGGATGCTGAAAATCTTTATTTCCTTGAAAAAATGTTTTATGTTGCTTCCATATAATGCACAGGTCTTCAAATCCACATATACATTAGATTATTATTTACGATTGAAAAAAGTATCAGGAATTCAGAGCAATATATAACAGTTCTCCAAATAAAACGAAGACTTAAAACAAATAGAAGAATTCTGCTAAAAAACAAAACAAACAAAGAAAAGCAAGTAAGTGGCCCACAGATAGAGAAAGCTCTCAAAATAAAGGGGAGGGAAAAAGTAGGCTTACAGTTATGAGTACACAAAATACAGTTTGTTGTTGTACTATTATTTATTAATTATTGTATTATTTTCCATATTAACAACTATAAACCTACTTTTGCCCCACTCTATAATATAAACCACCCCAACTGTTACAATTGGCTAAAAATGCTGAATATCGTAAGCTTCTGTATCCCTACATGTTTTAAGAGTAAAAAGGGCAATCTAACCCCATCTAACCCCATTGCCTAGTATAGTTTCCTTTTTCTTTGCTGTTTGCTATTCAAAATCACTCACACTTTAGACATAATTTTAAATAAAATCAATGTAGGCCATAAACTAAATTTTTATGCCATAATGCAGTATGTTGCTGTTTCCTCTTAGAAAATATTAAATTTTTCAGCAAGCATTTAAGTTAGATATTCTGTGGACTAAGAAATAGATAAAACATACAGTTTATTCCATTATGAAGATTACAGTTTGGTAAAAATAACATGCACGTATATGTATGCATACACACATATATACACACATGTGTATAGGCATATATGTATATGTATATACATGTGTGTGCATGTTTTTACAGGATATTACATAAAAGGATAATAAGGAAAATGGGTAAGGATGTGGGCAATTCCAGGAAGACAGTATGTTTGAAATACAAACTTCAAACTGTATGATAGCCTTTATAGTACAGAGATATGTAAAACATACTCCCGTTTTTCAAGGCACTGGTTTTAATTAGGACTGGAAAATAAGTTTTAATTCTAGGAGACCATGAATACCAGGCTAGGGAGTTTGGCTTTCATTCCAATGGAAATGGATAACCCCTGAGGGATTTTTTTTTGAAGGGCTCGGGAGGGTAGCTATAATCACCAGTTACAAGTTTATTACAATATTCTACCCCAAGAACGTAATAAGAGAGGCTTGAACTAAGAGAAGACAGATGCAAGATTTTATAAGCAGAGAGTCAATGGAGCTAAAAGGAAAAAGCAGCCAAAGAGAACTTGGTTTTCAGCAGTGTCATTCACATGACAGGCAATTATAGAGTGAGTTTGGCCCTGACTGGTGTGGCTCAGTGGATCGAGTGCTGGCCTGTGAATCAAAAGCCCTGACTAGTTTGATCCCCAGTCAGGGCACATGCCTGGGTTGCAGGCCAGGTCCCCAGTGCGGGGCATGTAAGAGGCAATCGCTGTATCTCTTGTGCACTGATGTTTCTCTCCCTCTCTCTCTCTTCCTTCCCCTTTCTCTAAAAATAAATAAATAAGATCTTTTTTTAAAAAAGATGAGCTTGATTTTGGATTTGCACTTCAGATACCACCTGGATGTAGAAATCTAGGTAGAAACGTCTAGAAGTCACAAACAATGACCTTGGATTTGAAAGTTACCTTCCCAGAGCTGATTAGTTAGCAGAGTAGGTGTGCATGAAGAAAGGAAGACTATACCTGAGAGGAACCACAGTCCCTGGGCAGAGGCTAAAGAGGACTGGAGGTGGGTAGATTAAGAGGAGAAAGGTAAGAAAGGGTAAGGCGCAGTCCCAAGGAATAGTGGTCAATAATATCAAATGTTGCCCAGACTGGTGTTGCTCAGTGTAAGCATCATCTGTCAGGGTACATGCCTGGGTTTCAGGCCAAGTCCCCCACAGGGGGTGTGCAAAAGGCAATTGACTGATGTTTCTCTCTCTCTTTTTCTCCCCCCTTAACTCTCTCTCTAAAAATAAATAAATAAAATCTAAAAAAAAATCTAATGTCACAGGGACATCAAAGAGATAAGCACTGAGGAAAAGCTGTACGATTTAGGAATTAAAAAATTCTGGTGATCTTTCAAAGCCAGTTTCAATAGAACAAAAGGTAGAAGTAGAGACAAGAATACAAAGTATTGAGTGAAAGAGAATAAAGTATATTTGGAAATGTGGGTGCCTATGGGAAGGAGAGGATAGAAACTCAAGAGTATACAGGTAAACTTAAATTACAGGACTATAACACAGATTTTACAATAAGTTTTAATAAATAAGTGCTAAATGTTACACTTCTATTACTTACCTGGCAAAGATGAATTCATACAACTCCAAATTTCAACCTAAAATTGTAATCACCAAAAGGCTTTTATGTAGATAACCAGTTCCTAAATGACACTTAATTTCTACAAAAATTATGTACATTTGATTCGATTATGTTTGTATCTATACAGTCAATGTTCTAGAAAAATACGAGTATTAACCAGCTATTCAGGGGAAAAAAAGAAAACATATGCAAGATATTACTCTTTTTTCCCATCTTCTCATCTAACAGCACTGAAGGTTAGTCTGGTTACTAAGGATGCGTACTACAACCACTACATTTACATACAAAGACAAAAGGGTCTGTAGAGTGACTAGCAGAAAATGTACCAGTCAGAACTGTGTGGCCACCATCCCCTCACTCCCTCTCACATGATGTAAGCTGCCGTACCTAAAGATGCTCTCTCATGGCAAGTTCAGACATTTTTTAACCTGGTTCATGAGCATCCCTGGCTCAAGCATTAGAGACATTTAAGTTACAGGATTCGGACAGGCAAGCAATACATTTGTTGTATACAAGAAAATGGGAAGGCAGGAATAATGAAAAAAATCACACATTTCCCCTCATCTGAAATACAACTTTTCAAAATCAAAGTAAATACAAAGTTAATATAGTTATCATAAAATTGTCAAAACATAGTAAGTAAAAATCCAAATTCAAGATAAACTATTGTAATGACAGGTAAAGACTAAAATAAATTTGTATTTAATACTGTTTTTACCTGTATCATAGAATAAACAATAAAAGTGAAAGACATATTCTACTTAGCAATTTGTGTGAAGATCTTTTTAAAGTACCTAGATAAATCTAACGTTTTACTTTGACCACAAACCCCATTCACACTGAAAATTTTGCCAAATCTAAAAAGAACTCATTTGATGACTTCATTTAGACAAAAGTTCCCATAATTAAGTTAAACAAGACCTACCATTGTTTCAGGGCAATAATCTGGGGCTCGCTGCAACAGATGTTTTAGTCGGGACTCACTTTTTGAGGAGAATATCTATTTGACAAAAGAAAAAAGTTTGTGTGGCACTTTTTCATAAGAAATAGAAAGAGGTTAAAATGTATTATATTCTAGATTTATCAGTTGTCTAGAATATCTTCCAACTTCCTTTAATAAATGAAAACCCTTTGGAAGGATCTAACTTAAACTGATGTAACATTTCTTGGGTAGTTTGGCAAATAACCAAGAAAGTTCAAATATAACAAGTCCAGGCCCTATTTTCTAATGACCAAAAATGGGTAAAACTGGGCCACCAAACTGGAGCCTGGGAGAAAAAGAAAGAAGGTAGAAAAAAATGAAAAAAAAATCCCCAAAAAACAAAAAAAAACCCCAAAACCGATAAACTCATTCTAAACTATTCTACAAACTGTTTTAAGTCAACTGACCACAGTCAAAATAGACTGTTATACCTTGGTACTGGTAAAGAACAAATTTGTGAACAGCATTATGGCATAAACTTCTCTGCAAAATGCCATAAAATAGAGACACCATTTTTTAATACAGATGCCTAGGAGCTGACAAGTTCACTAACAAGGCTGGCTACCTGCTTCACTTCCAAACAGAACTTCAGTTAACCATGATTTGATGTCTCAGTAAATTATAAATCATTATGTATATCAGATACAACTTCATGGTTACCTACAAACAGGTAAGGCTGTAAAGCCCATACATTCTAATAAGGACAATGAAAAAGGGTTTATCTCCAGATAGTTTTAGTAGCCATTTTTCTCCAAAGTACCAACTATAATAAGTAAGGAAAGCTAGAATACTACCATTTTGCAAACCCTAGTAAATTAATGCATTCAGGCTATTATCAAAGATGACCGATAACCTTACAAAAAGAGACAACCAGTCACAGCATCACTTATGAGGAAGATTAAGCAAAACCAAAACAAACCTAACCTAAATCTGATCAAGCCTCTGTATCTATTTCATAAGGTTGCTGCTAGCCATGTGTGGCTATTTAAATTTAAATTGAAGTCACACCCTGGCTGGGGTAGCCCAGTGGATTGAGCCCAGGCCTGCGAACCAAAGGATTGAGGTTCATTCCCAGTCAGGGCACGTGCCTGGGTTGTAGGCCAGTTCCCAGTCGGGGACGCACAAGAGGCAACCATACATTGATATTTCTCTCCCTGTCTCCTTCCCTTCCCCTCTAAAGATAAATAAATAAATAAATAAAATCTTAAAATTGTTTTTAAAACCGAAATCATTAAAATTAAATAAAATTAAAAATTCAGTTCCTCACCCTGGCTGGGTAGATCAGTTAATCTGGAGTGTCATGCGGTGCACCAAACCGGTTGCAGGTTTGATTCCCGGGCAGGGCACATACCTAAGTTGTGGGTTTGATCTCCGGCTGGGGCACATACAGGGCATCCGATTCATGTTTATATTTCTCTCTCCCCCCACCCCTTTCCTCCTTCCCTAAAATCAATAAAAACATAACTTTCGGTGAGGATTAAAATAAGTAAAATAGGACTTCCAGCCAAGATAGAGGCATAGGTAGACACACTGTATCTCCTTGCATAACCAAAAGAAGGAGAACAACAAATTTAAAAACAAAAAACAACCAGAACTGACAGAAAAATGAACTGTATGGAAGTCCAACAATTAAGGAGTTAAAGAAGAAACATTCATATAGACCGAAGGGCAGAGAGGAATTGCGGCAAGGCAGTGGCTGGTATGTCAGGCAGCAGCTGGCTTCAGACTGGGAGGACCCACATTCAAATGCAGATAAACAGGGAGGGACAACTCAGGAGCAAGACACACTGTGCGGCCCAGGGTTCCTGCACAGGCAAATAAAGCCTCAAACCTCTGATTGAAAACATCTGTGGGGATTAAGGCAGCGGCGATGAGAAACTCCCAGTCTCACAGGAGAGTTTATTGAGGAGACCTGCAGGGTCCTAGAATGTACACAAACCTACCCACCTGAGAATAAGCACCAGAAGGGCCCGATTTGACTGTGGGAACTGGGGGAAATGACTGAAAACCAGCAGAGAGTAGAGTAAGTGGCACTGTTCCCTCTCTGACTCTGCCCCCACAAACAGCATCACAACTCAGCCATGTGGGTTGCCCCGCCCTGGTAAATACCTAAGGCTCCACCCCTCACTATGTAACAGACACATCAAGACCACCCCCCCAAATGGTCCAAATGAAAGAATAGATCAAAGCTCCAGAAAAAATACAACTAAACGACCAAGAGATAGCCAACCTATCAGATGCACAGTTCAAAGCACTGGTGATCAGGATGCTCACAGAATTGGTTGAATTTGGTCACAAATTAGATGCAAAAGTGAAGGCTATGCTAAGTGAAATAAAGGAAAATGAACAGGGAACCAGTAGTGCTGGGAAAGAAACTGGGACTCAAATCAACAGTATGGACCAGAAGGAAGAAGGAAACATTCAACCAGAAAAGAATGAAGAAACAAGAATTCAGAAAAAATGAGGAGAGGCTTAGGAACCTCCAGGACAACATTCCAACATCCAAATCATAGGGGTGCCAGCAGAAGAAGAGGAAGACCAAGAAGTTGAAAACTTATATGAAAAAATAATGAAGGAGAACTAACCCAACCTGGCAAAGGAAATAGACTTGCAGGAAGTCCAGGAAGCTCAGAGAGTCCCAAAGAAGTTGGACCTAAGGAAGCACACACCAAGGCACGTCATAATTACATTAGCCAAGGTTAAAGATGAGAGAGTCTTAAAAGCACCAAGAAGAGAAAAGGAGAGAGTTACCTACAAAGGAGTGCCCATAAGACTGTCAGCTGATTTCTCAAAAGAGACCTTACAGGCAAGAAGGGGCTGGAAAGAAGTATTCCAAGTCATGAAAGGCAAGGACCTACAACCAAGATTGCTCTATCCAGCAAAGCTTTCATTTAGAATGGAAGGGCAGATATAGTGCTTTCCAGGTAGGGTCAAATTAAGGACTTCATCATCACCAAGCCCTTATTATATGAAATGTTAAAGGGACTTATCTAAGGAAAAGATAAAAAATATGAACAGTAAAATGACAACTAAGTCACTTGTTTGTTTAGGTTCAGTTATTAACAACTGAACCTAAAAAAAAACTAAGCAAACAACTAGAACAGGAACAGAATAAAAAAAATGGAGATCACATGGAAGGTTATCAGCAGGGGAGTGGGTAGGGAGAGAGGAGGAAAAGGTACAGAGAATAAGTAGCATAAATGGTAGGTAGAAGATAGGGGAACTTAAGAATAGTATAGGAAATGTAGAAGCCAAAGAACTTCTATATATCACCCATGGACATGAACTAAAGTCAGGGGGATGCAGCTGGGAGGGGGTGTGCAGGGCAGAGAGGAATAAAGGAGTGAAATGGAACACGTATAATAGCATAATCAATAAAATATATTTTAAAAATAAGTAAAATAAAATAAATTTGAATTAAAAATGTTTTAAATTTCTGCACTAAGACTTTAGCCCCACTGCTCCAGTCAATCTAGAAATATTTATGCAGAGTTTTTCATATTAGCACTATTCCAAGCAGTGGGGGCTTCAGCATAAACAAAGCAAACAAAATCCCTTCTGTACAGCATCTCTTCTAACAGTTAAAAATGAAACAAAACAACAATGAAGGGTCTTGCCCTGACTAGTGTGGCTCACTTGGTTGGGCATTGTTCTGCAAAGTGAAAGGCTGTCAGTTCTATTCCAGGTTGGGCACATGTGGCCAGGCGCATGCAAGAGTCACCGATTGATGTTTCTCTCCCTCTTTCTCCCTCCCTTCACCCTCTCTCTAAAAATAAATAAATAAAATTCTTTAAAAACCGAGGGCCTTTTCTCAGATCTCAAACTCCTTGACTTTTCTCTGGCATCTGACACCTTACTTTATTGACTACTATAAAACACCTGCCTGACTTACACAAATTCAAATTCTAAAGTTTTAATTCCAAATCTCCAACTGTCTTCACACAGTTTTCAATGATAATTCAGCAACTCACCTTCACCCAAACCAAATCATTTCCCCAACCTCCCATAACCCTCAGGGATACTACTATTCACTCTAACCCAATACCTAAATGTCATCAGGACCCCACCCTGTCTTCATTCTCTACTGAAGAAATAATTATTCCTCACTCCTGGTATTTCCACTCATTTTGAGTGAGCTCTGCTAGTTTTATCAGCCTCGCCTCTCTCCACATGGCTCACTCAGTCCTCCAGTAATTGTGAAGACTGACTGACTAACCCAACTGCCGAGTCTGGCAGGAGGAAGTACACATATGTAACCCAGACTTTACCTCTCCTCCTCTGGGAGTAAATCTAATTCTGTAGTTTAGTGTCTATCTGGAGATAAAAGTTACATTCAACATTTGTATAACTAGTAATAAGAGTAACACCCGGAGTCTAAATTACCTTATTTCTCAACTAAAGAAATACTAGGTCATGGAAAAATGCTCCTTATTAGGGTAACTAATTTGCTAAGTTATAGAATTTCTAACATTTCTGAGTTTAAGAAATTAGACCTTGCCTGCTGCAGGTGCTTCCTAAAAATCATTCGCCCGCCCTGGCTGGTGTAGCTCAGTGGATTGAGCGCGAGCCTGAGAACCAAACAACCGCAGTTTGATTCCCAGTCAGGGCACATGCCTGGGTTGTGGGCCAGGTCCCCAGTGGGGGCCATGTAGAAGGCGACCACACATTGATGTTTCTCTCCCTCTCTCCTTCCTTTCCCTTCCTCTCTAAAGATAAATACATAAAATCTTTTAAAAAATCATTAACCCTATTGAACACCTAGTGGAAAAAAACAGAACAAAACAAAAAGCCAAGAAAGCAGTGTTTCCAAAAGTCGTAGAGCACCTTTAAAAGCTCCCTTATGGTGACAGCATCAAGGGGCCGTTTTTGCTGTTAAAAGCTATTTTTTCTGGCAATAAATTAGCGGAGAACAATTTGCAATGTGTTTCGACATGAATTCTCAGGCAGCTATTTACACGAGCCAAGTCACTGTCTCGTTTTATAATTAGAAAGTATCTTGCAAAATCTTTCTAAATTCGTAATATTGTTTGAAGCAACTTCTAATCTCAGGTAGCTTTCTCGGTTCTAGGCAGTGACAAAATCCAGGTAATTACTGAGAAACTCCTTCAAAAGATGAGTGAGGCCATCAATTCTCAAGCACTAAGGCTGGAACTACACAACCAAGATGGTGAAAGAAAGGTAAGACTTGATGAACAGGTAGGTACTAATTGTCTCAGTATAACTTGCCTGAAAAGGCTCAACCAGAAAAACTCAAATGTAAAGTGTACTACTTTCAAAAGTAGTACACAATATCTAGTCTTCATCTAGATTGACCCACTATTAATATTTTGCATCATTTGCTCTAACTCTCTGCATAAACACATTAATATTGCTAATATTTTGATGAAACATTTTAGAATTCATTACAGACACAATATTCATTCCTAAATTCTGGCATGTACCTCCTAAGAACAAGAACACCTACCTGACCACAATACAACACCAAATTCAGGATTACAACACTGATAAAAATATTATTACAGCCCATATTCAAATTTCACCAATTTATTCCAAAAGCGTCCTTTATAGCAAATTTTAAATTCCAGGGTCCAACTCAGGATCACGCTTTGCATTAAGCTGTCATGTCTCTTTCGTTTCCTTTAATCTGGAAGTTTCTTATAGCCTCTATTTTTATAATTCTGATATCTTTTTGAAGATATCAGTATTACAGGCTTTTGTTCTGAGGAATATCCCCCTATCTGGGCTTGCCCTATTGTTTCTTCATGGTCAGGTTATGCATTTTTGACAGAAATTCTATGTGAGCTCTGTACTCTTTCAGGGCATCGTATCAGCAGACACATGTTAATTTGTCCCATTACTGGTGATGTGAACTCTGTCCACTTAAGGTACTGTGCAGGATTCTCTGAAACAATTCTACGTAATAAACAGTTACTAATATCCTCTAGAATTATGGTATAAGCTTACCTGTTCACATACATCACGGCACATTTGGTTATCCTTTGAATGGTCACAACACAATGCACCTAGGAAGAAAACATAAATACCAATGTTGCCCACTTTAGGTAAACAAGACAGTTAAGCTAAATCGGAAGGCTAAACATTATTCAAGAGATTATTATTATTATTATTCATTTTAATTCAACAAACCTTTACTATGTATCTAGCAAAAGCCAAGGATAGTGCTAGGTTGGTTCTTATCCAAAAAGCTTATAGTCTCAATAGGAGAGACTGTCATGTAATAATAGCTAACGTATTATGTAACTTCCACATGCCAGAATTTTACTTAGTTTGCTTTATACAGTATCTCATTCAACCCTTACTATTGTCCTCTGGACTCTATTCTCTTATTATACCTATAATGTAAAGTTAAATAATTTTTTAAAAGACAGTGAATTTTGTTTTGGACATGTTAAATTTAAGGTTCCTACAGGACATCCAGATGGAAATCCCAGTAAAGTAAAAAACCTAAGCTGGAAATGCAGGTAAAGCCAAGTCAAAGCCAAGTCAAAGCCAAATTTGGAATCACCAGCATAAAAAAGGTAAACAAAAATGAATGACATTTCCTAGGGAGAGTTTCTAGTTGAGAAGTGAACACAATGTCAAATTTTAAAGAATGGCAGTGTCTAAGACAGGAGAAGAAACAAAGAACAGACTGAGATGGAACAGAGGGATAGTAAGAAAGTAACATCGCAAAAGAGGGAGTAGCTAGTGTCACAGCCCAGAATAGTCCGTTAGACTGAAGACTCAGGAAAAGAAATGGGTTTACCAATTAGGAGCCACTCAGTGACCTTCATTTCACAATGTACTTTCTGTGGATTTGGTTGAAGTGAATGACATTAAGGAATAAGCCAGAAGGGAGGAAGTATAAACAGCAAATAAAGGCTCTCAAGAAGTCTAGCAGTGATGGAAGCGAAAGAAGAGTGAGTGGTAGTCACAGGAGGATGCAGGATATAGGGAAGATTTTCCCTGTTTTAAAGAGTGGCCTTTTGTCCATGGTTCCTGGAGACTCTAAACCCCTGGACTATCCCGAGCAACAGGAATGTCTTTGTTCCTGCTAATGAGGTGGACCAAGATCTCTCCTAGGCACATTCAGGAGGACTGGCAGTGCCAGAAAGATCGGCCAAGGGATAAGAGGTTTTCAGCTAGCTACATGATTTCATCTCAACTCCCAACTTCCAGCAGGACAGAGGTACTGGAGATTGAGTTCAACCACATGGATGATAAATAGTTCAATTAATAATGCCTAAGTGATGGAATCCCAATAAAAACTCTAGATACACTTTTGCCCTATAATTAACGATATTTTACAGAATTACTAAAACAGAACATATATGTTTGAAACCACTGATGGAAAAAAACTGAATTTGAGCTGATAATGGAAAAAGGTCATTCTAAGTAAAAAAAACAGACAAGTACTAAAAAAATCTGATCTTAATTTTAGTCAAATTTTTGTTTTCAAAACAGTCTGGAAATTCACATTCACTTTAAAAACATTTAAATGACAACTGCAACTACAACTTACAAATGCATTCTTGCAATTGTTACATTTATCCCTTTAAATATTCGTGTGTGTATGTGTGTGTGTGTACACTTCCATATTTTGCTGCGTATACAGTGCACCTTTGGCCCAAATTTTTGAGAAAATAAGGACATGTATTATATATACATGGATAGTGCCTGAAATAACTTGTATCTGTTCTTGTGTTTTGTAATTTGTTACATAAAATTTCTTGTCCTGGCTGGTGTGGCTCAGTGGACTGAGTACCAGCCTGTGAACTAAAGGGTCTCCTGTCTGATTCCCAGCCCAGGGCACACGCTAGGTTGTGGGGCAGGTCCCCAGTGGGGGGCCCATAAGAGGCAACCACACATTGATATTTCCCTCTCTTTGTCCCTCCCTTCCCCTCTTTAAAAATAATAAATAAAATCTTTAAAATAAATGCTACAATTCCTTTATAACACACAAAACAATTATCTAAATATACATAAATAATTAATAAAATTTAAAAAAATAAAACATTTGTTCCTAAAAGTTTGGGCCAAAAACATGGGTACACATTATACACAGTGAAATATGGTATAATATCATTAGCCAATGAAGAGCCAAACCCAGTAAAAATGATCACCCATATACCCAGCCACCTGGATTCAATATTACTAACATCTTGTCGTCTTGCCACACTAATTTACCTATCTATCTGGACAAACACATACCTATTTTTTGTGAGTCATTTGTAAGTTACAAATATTCTTCTCCATTGCTCGCATCATACTGCACTGTTGCAACAACCAGTTAAATTCATTTGATTCTATTGCCAATATGACAGCCAGATCTTCTCATCAAGGGCGTTCTAAATTTTTTAAATCTAACCTCCCCTTTCCTCACATTCTAGCATTTTTTTAAAACAAAGAAAGCCTTCATTTACCTTGAACACAGCTTTCTGCCTGAAATGCTTAGTGCCCTCTTTCTGCTGACTTAAATCTCACCTCAACTCTTAGCCTTTCTTCTCCCACAATCCAAGCCATGTTGGTTTGGGGGTAGGTTTCTTATTCTTTCCTTCTTTTTTCTATCTAAGGCCCTACTATTTTAGTAAGGACTGGAAACTTGAACACTTTAACTCTTCTCTCATTATTTCATGTCTGTAGTTAGGGTATCTCCAGATTGGCTGAAAACTTCTTGTACCCATTCAGCACAGTGCCCAGCTCAAAATAATTTTTATTTAAAGGTTAATAATAATTTCCTAGTTATGCAATGCCTTTTTATCAGAAAAAAATATAAAAAGTGGTATTTTCCTCACTCTACCACTTCATTATTGCATTTCATATAGTGACCAACCTGTAATTTAACAAACATCATAAGTTTTTGGCTAGGTCACAAGGTAAATTGATCCCAATCGTACACTCAGGCAGAGAGATATGCAACCACCTGGTGGTGGGCTCTGCACCTATAAGGTCAAGAGTCGAGGCAGTGAAAATTGAAGTTTTATGGAGGTGCAGAACCTTGAGTTAAAAGAGGAAGTTGACGGCCCTGGCTGGTGTAGCTCAGTGGATTGACCACGGGCCTGTGAAGCAAAAGAGAAAGTTGGTTGATGGACAGTGGGAAATGCAAGAGATGCATGGGAGAGAACTAATCACAGGTAGAGAAAAGACTGCCTCCAAAAGTTTCCAGTCCCCACAGAGTCTCTAAGGGTTGTGCTGTACTAAATTTCCCACCCTGGGATTTCTGTGTGTACTCCTGTTAGAAGGTACATACTAGCCCCTTAGCCCTTGGTTTCTGTTCTGTTGGGAGTCAGAAGAGCCTTAACCCAGACATTCTTCATTATGAACCAACTAAAGCAAATGACTCTCTTAAGGTCTTCTCCCCAGATGCTAATAACCAGTATTCTTGGATAATTCCCTTCCCCACTCTATCCTCCCATTTACATCTAGAAGTGTGACTGTAAAAATAATATGCAAGCAAACATGCATGTGAATGTCTAGCTTCCAGTGGTATATTACATGGTCAGAATGTTTTTCTCTTTTATTAAAATATATTTTATTGATTATGCTATTACAGTTGTCCCATTTTCCTCCCTGCATTCCCCTTCACCCTGCATACCCTCTCCCACCCACATTCCCCACCTTTAGTTCATGTCCATGTGTCACACTTATAAGTTCTTTAGCTTCTACATTTCCCATACTATTCTTGCCCTCCCCCTGTCTATTTTCTACCTACCATCTATGTTAATAATTCTCTGTACCTTTTCCCTCTCTCCTCCTCCCACTCCCCTGTTGCTAACCCTCCATGTGATCTCCATTCTGTGCTTCTGTTCCTGTTCTAGTTGTTTGCTTTTGTTTTAGGTGTGGTTGTTAATAACTGTGAGTTTGCTGTCTTTTTACTGTTCATATATTTTATCTTCTTTTTCTTAAATAAGTCCCTTTAACATTTCATATAATAAGGGCTTGGTGATGATGAAGTCCTTAATTTGACCTTACCTGGAAAGCACTATATCTGCCCTTCCATTCTAAATGAAAGCTTTGCTGGATGGAGCAATCTTGGTTGTAGGTCCTTGCCTTTCATGACTTGGAATACTTCTTTCCAGCCCCTTCTTGCCTGTAAGGTCTCTTTTGAGAAATCAGCTGACAGTCTTATGGGCACTCCTTTGTAGGTAACTCTCTCCTTTTCTCTTCTTGGTGCTTTTAAGACTCTCTCCTCTTTAACCTTGGCTAATGTAATTATGACGTGCCTTGGTGTGTGCTTCCTTAGGTCCAACTTCTTTGGGACTCTCTGAGCTTCCTGGACTTCCTGCAAGTCTATTTCCTTTGCCAGGTTGGGTTAGTTCTCCTTCATTATTTTTTCATATAAGTTTTCAACTTCTTGGTCTTCCTCTTCTTCTGCTGGCACCCCTATGATTTGGATGTTGGAATGTTGTCCTGGAGGTTCCTAAGCCTCTCCTCATTTTTTCTGAATTCTTGTTTCTTCATTCTTTTCTGGTTGAATGTTTCCTTCTTCCTTCTGGTCCATACAACATGTTGATTTGAGTCCCAGTTTCTTTCCCAGCACTACTGGTTCCCTGTTCATTTTCCTTTATTTCACTTAGCATAGCCTTCACTTTTGCATCTAATTTGTGACCAAATTCAACCAATTCTGTGAGCATCCTGATCACCAGTGCTTTGAACTGTGCATCTGATAGGTTGGCTATCTCTTGGTCGTTTAGTTGTATTTGTTCTGGAGCTTTGATCTATTCTTTCATTTGGGCCATTGGGGGGGGGGGTCTTGACATGCCTGTTACATAGTGAGGGGTGGAGCCTTAGGTATTTACCAGGGCGGGGCAACCCACATGGCTGAGTTGTGATGCTGTTTGTGGGGGCGGAGTCAGAGCGGGAACAATGGCACTTGCTCCACTCTCTGCTGGATTTTAGTCTCTTCAGTCCCTTCAGCCACTTTCCCCAAGCAAACTGGGCCCTTTTGGTGTTGATCTCCATGGGGGTGGGCTTATGCACATTCTAGGATCCTGTGGGTCTCTCCAACAAACTCTCCTGTGAGTCTGGGAGTTTCTCCCAGCACCTCAACACCCACAGGTGTTTTCAATTGGTGTTTTGAGGCTTCATTTTCCCACATTGGAGCCCTGGGTTGAGCAGTCCATCCTGCTCCCCAGTTTCACCTGGTTTATCTGTGCATAAATGTGGGACTGCCCAGTCTTCCAGCTGCCCTGCCTGCTGTGCCCCTCCACAATCCACTACCTCATTGGGTTAGCCCACCCCCCCCTGCATGCCTGGGGTCCACCAGTTACCACTTTTTTTGCCTCAACCCCTCTCTGCCTGGATGCTCAACTCCTCCCCTCCTACTGGTCTGGATGAATGTGTCTATTTTGACTCCTCAGTTGTAGGACTTCCATACACTTCAATTTTCTCTCAGTACTGGTTGTTTTTTTTGTTTCTAAATTTTGTTGTCCTTATTTTGGTTGTGCGAGGAGGCATAGTGTGTCTACTTGGCCAGAAGTCCAGAATGTTTCTCTTAATACCACCCTTTTCTTAAAGTCTTCTTTATGTTACTTATGTGCTTTACAACATCCATCATATTATGTTATATACTTGACTAAATCACATGATTTTTTTCTCAAACATATTCTTCAGATTTAGAATATAAATGGATATGTACTAATATAACCACATAATATTACTGATGTAGATATATATTTTTGGTGATTTTTAATGTCTGAATGTCCCACTAAACCATAAACCCTAAGAAAACAGAGACAATGTCTGTTTTCACCTACCACTTTACATCTAGTGGCTATCACAGTTGTCTGGCACTATTACCAGCTTAATAAATATTTGCTGAATGGATTACTGAGAGGTATGAACCTTAGTTTAATAAGCAATGGATCTGGGGGAGTTATTCCTGATACCTATCTTAAATATGTTCAAAAACGGAACTTTCAACTCTTCCTGGCTCATCTGCCAACCTCTTCCAATCTGCTCCTCCCCATCATGCTGACCTTGGCAAATGTTTGTGTTTTTTGTTTGTTTGTTTGTTTGTTTTTACTTAGTTGCTTAAGGTAAAAATCTCTGAGTAGTCTTTAATTCCTCCTTACCTCACTTCCCACATCTAATCCATCAGCAATATACCTTGAATCTCTCTTCCGCCTTCACCATCACTCTGCTCTTTCACCATTGTCTCCTGCTTCCACTACTGCAATGGGCTTCTCTAGTCACCCTGTTCTTACTATCCACTATAATCACTTTTTAAAAAAATTCTGAAGCCAGAATTATCTAAAATATAAACCAAAGCATACACCTCTACTTAAAAATCTGTTGGTTTTTTTTTCTGTACACGCAATAAAATCCACAATCTTTATGTGGCTTTTTGCAAGGCTCAGCACCATTTAGCCCTAGCCTACTCTCTTGTTCATTTTGTCACAACCAAACTGATCTTTTGCTCCTTTTTGCCTTAGGGCCTCTGCACTTTTTGGTCTCCTCTCATCTTTCCTAAGGACAGCACCTTCCTGTCTTCAGATCCTGGTTCTGAACTATACCTTGTAAAACAAGCCTCTTGTCATCACCATATAAAGAACCACTCTCCCCATACTCACACAATTCTCTGTTATCATCTGGTTTCCTGCACAGCATACTTATCACTATCAGAAATCATTCTATTTATCTGTTTATTTTCTATCTTTCCTCACTAGAATGTGAGCTCCTCAAAAGCATTAATTCTCATCTAGAATAATGCCTGACATATAGTAAGCACTAAATAAACATTTCTTGAATAAACAAATACCTGCATTATCTTTTTTGCTCTTCTAAAACCCACATTTTTACTACATAAAAACCATCTCTTGACATCACCCTATTTTAATTCCAGAAGTAGCATGAAAGATTGCTGAAATCTATGGACATAAGACAGAAACTTATAAACTGTCATATCTGGTCTATCACCAATCCTTGTTCTTTCTGCAATGTGTGGAAAGATACTTCTTTGGAAAGAAAACCTGTTTATTAATTCCCTCTAGATGGCCATTTGCTTTTTCTAACTTAAAATTTATTACATTCTTTTTTCAGGATTCTGGGCTATTACATAATACCTTAAATGTCAACTTATTGAAATCTAGCCCTTAATTTTACATATTTCCCTCTTTTGTACTATTTATTACAAGTGTTAAATAGAAACAACTATTATCAGGTACCATGACAGACCCACCACAGCTTAAGATCCCATCCCATCCTTCAAAGGAAACACTAGAAGTGTGACTTGTGGGGCAGGGGGTGGTGGATTGGAAAGGGGAGGGATTAGAAAGTACACTGAAACAGAAAGTGTGGCATGACTCCCACGAACAGGGTGTGACCAAACTTCTCAACAGATGATAATCAGTGAGCAAGTAATATCACTCCCTCACCTCCACCACCCTCCCCAAGAATAGGAATGAAAATCTCCAAGTCAGAACAGATAAGGATGGGGGTGATATCCTGGAACAGGATAAGGTCAGAAGAAAGAAGACAGAGCAAGAATACAAGCTCAGCCTTCAGTGAAATATAATTTAATATTGTATTGTGTTCCCAATTTTTTGTTTAGGATTGAAGAGCATTTTCTACACATCCTATAGCTATACAGTGGAAGCTTCTGTCCATTGTATTACTCAATGACCTTTATGTAAAGAAACAAGTAATATGCTTCCTAGAATTTAGTACAAGAGACAAATCTCACATTTAGTCAAACTGAAATTTCTCTTTTCATCAAATATGCAGACTCCATGCTGTCACAGACTTTCAGAGCTGGGAAGGTCTTTAGGAATCATCTAACCTAGTATTTTCTAAAGTGTGCTTTTCGATGCTACACAGGAAAAGGAGTTCTATAAGCAAACAAGTTTCTATTTTTCTATAATAATGTACTTATATAAATCATGTTAAATTAATTAAACAAGGAGGCCATTAGACTGAGGTGGCTTTACTGCCTTAGCGGCCTAACCAAGAAAACAGACACCTAAGCCTGTAATACCCACGGAAGCTTGTAATACCATGAGGCTAAGAAACTGAAACAGCCACCTAGGCCTTCCCAAATAAGGCATCCTCTTAAGCTATACTAATCAAGTAATATTTTTGCTTTGCTTCCTTCTACCTTTCTTCTACCAAAGTCTTCTGTCACTTCCCTTTTTGTGTTGCCCATTTGAATCAATTGCTGAATCAGTTTATACATTAACAATTGCATAATACAAAACTCATCCTTTTAAAGTGTATATAATTCAGTTGTTTTTAGTACACTCATGAAGTTGTGCAACTACCACTACAATTTAACTTTAGAACATTTTCATCACCCTAACAAGAAACACCATACCCATTGGCAGTCATTTCCCTGTTCCCTCAGCAAACCAGATTCTTTACCACAGGAATCCCTGGACTCTTTATTGGAAATCTAACATGTTTCGTGAATTTTTAAGAAAGGGGTATAATGTGCAGTGTTTCCCAAACTTATTTAATAGCTAACATCAGTGCTTACTATAGCTATTCTAAATGCTACTCATGTATAACTTCAATTTTCACAAAAAAATATATATATTATAAATGTGGATATTAAAGCACAAAAAGACTAAGGCTACGTAACCTGTTGCTGTGTTCATAACTACTCCACTCTATTATCACCCACAGAACTGACTAGTTGTGAGAGGAAAATGAACAACTAACTAGTATTCTATGGACCGTAACTTTGGAAATGCTTTAGTTCCTATCTTTAACTTAATGAGACAAATGGGGCCCAAAACGGTAAGCTGATTTAGCCAAAAATACACAGCATTTTTCTCTCTATCCCCTTCGGTTTCCATCTAATTGACAGCTAAACTTAGAACCCAATTACAATGAACTAATCCCAGGTTCCTGCCGTAATTCTCCTCCTTCTTGACTTAAAAAAAAAAGGGGGGGGGGGCAAAATCTCTAACATTGTACTTTACCTTAAAACCCCGTTGGGATGGATTTTGCTCTTTCTAGGTGTAAGCTCTCACAGTAAGCAATGCACTGCTCCACCACTTTTGCACGTATAAATCTCTGCCATCCTTTACCATCTAGGGCAGTTGGGGAAACACTCAATTTTCCTTCCTCCTCAGGTGGATGTCGTCTCACTCCCTCTGCACACCCACAGCCCTTCACTTCCCCTGGACACTCCTGCGCTGACTTCAAGCAGCTTGTGTCCTGTCGTACGGCACTTCCTGACCAAAGAGCTACTGGAGGGCAGACGTTCAAAGCAACCCCTAAAGCCCAGCACGGGAGAGACGCTCAGAGAGTACTGAAACACTTTCCTATCCACTCCGGGTTTAATCCCCCCCCCCCCCCCCCATCAAGAACGAATCTCGCCTCCAGCTTGCCTGCCAGCGCTCAGAGAGCGGGGCTGCCCGATTTTTAAGGTCCCTAGCGGGAGCCCAGCGCTATCTCAGGCGCACAGCGCACCCACAGCGAACCGCAGCAGAATCGGATTTGGAAGAGGTGGTGCCCTCTCCTCTAAAACTGGAACCTTGCGGGCTACTGGGCCCATCACCACTCGCTGCCCGAGGTCTGCCTTTCTGAACCCAGCGAGGGTCAAGTAACAATAACTGGTCGGGACGGCGGTGGGTGGCTGCACCTCCGAAACCCAGCCAACCCTTGCGACGATCCTGGGCAATGGCATTTCTCACCCTTTTTTGAGAGACCAGTCTGTCGAGGACACTAAGGGACCAGCTGGGGTCCCTGGTCTGGTGGGTGACAGAACAAGGCCTCGAACATGGGTCACAGCTTCCAGTTTGGCAGATCTTCGGGGCGGGGAGAGCGAGGGTGGAGAGGAGTCCCCTCTCGACCAGCCTCCGCACCCCTTCCTACTGCTGGGACCTCCGGCCACTGGGTCACCGGACGTGGGCCGGGTCTGGGGGTCGCGCGCACCCCTGCCCAGCCCCGCGCCATCTTGGAGCGCAGAGGCGCCGCTCCGGACCGCCCCGAACCGCTACTTCAGCACTTACTCACCCGCACTGCCCGGGGACAGGCTCCCTGACACCTCCGCGACCCCTGCTACGGCCAGGAGAAGCAGCAGCGGAACTCGCGGGGACGTCCCGGCGGTCGCCATGTCCGGGCCCGGAGGTCCAGAACCTCGGGATGCTCGGACCCAACCCAGCTACCGCTGCTCTGCGCGGAGACCCCGCCCCGGCGATCTGGAACTTCGGTGATTGGCTGCGGCACGCTCAAGCCCCGCCCCTGGGCTGCCAAGAGTTTCCAAAACCTGCTGGGGGCGGGAATGTGCCAGCGACCCTGTCTCTTTGTTTTGGCCCAGCTGTATGTCTGCTCCTGCAGCGGAGAACCCCTGCCAGCATTCTCCTCAAGGGGAATCAGAAGGTGTCAAAGCTGGAGGGCCCTTAGAATACCTCTACTACCTCCCGAGGTTTGCAGATAAAGCCTGAGGCTCAGAGAGTCCCTGACCTGCCCAAGATCACACCACGAGTTCACCTGAGAACTAAGACAAAGTCCGAGGCTGAACCAAATTAACTTCTCCCTTTCGCAAACCCTCAGTAATGCTCTTATTATCCTTTCTGCTCAGACGCCGCCTCACAACCAAAGAAGGCATGTCAAAGGGGACAGCTCGGCCTCCCCTAAAGTCTGAGGGGCTCTGCCTTAGACACGGTCCCCTGACAAGCGCCTAAGGCACAGATTCACCCCCAAAGTTCTTTCACATATGTTGCTTCATTGTGTCTTTGATGGACTAACAAGTACCTAATCCCACCAGGAAAAGGTTGAGGAAGGAATGCTTGTGCACCTAGATATGGAGAGCCTTGAATATCAGGTTTAGACTTTAAGAGACAGTTTGGAAGTGGGTCCTCTTACCCCATCCCTTACCTCTCCTCCCCCGAAGCTACTATGGGGAATGTTCGGGAAGGAACAGTGGCTAGTAAAGCACTCTCTAGCTCTCTTCTTTCTGGTCTCTTTCCGGTCTTCCTCTCTCTGTTCCTGAATTAATAATACCTTTACCCTTTCCCTTCCCTTAAAAAAAAAAAAGAAGACCCCACTAGGGTTAAAAATTTTTAATTCCTTAGTATCAGTGACTATTCAGTGTTTAGATTTCACTTATTTTCACATAATTTCCTTTCACAGTTTTTCAAGTTCTAAACAAAATCCATATGTTAAAGTTGGTTTCTATGTCTTTTAGGTTTCTTCATATCTATTATCTGTTTTAAGTTTACAATAAGAAAACATGATAATTTTTCTAAAAATCTAAACATCTGCTCTGATGATAACTCTTTTGCTTCAAACTTTTGGAGGCGCCACTTCTTTTCTTACAGGATAGAATGATGCACGATTATTTAACATGGTGTCAGAGTTCTTAGCAATTGGACCCAGACGTGTTTTCAGCTTCGTCTCCACACCCTTCCTGTACCCCTGCCACCATCCTTTCAGAACCTTTTATCTTGTTCCAAACCTCTTAATTGCTTTCACCCCTCTTTCACAACATGTATCTCCTCTGCCCAGAATTCCCCAATTCTGTGGTTACCCAGCTCAGCTGAGGGAGCTAAGACAGTTGCTCTCAACTCAACTGTGCCCTAAAACAACCTGAGCAGGAAGAGGACTCTGTGTAAAGTGACTGATACATCTTGCTTTGTATGGGACTGTCCTGGTTTTAAAACTGAAAGTCCTATGCCCCAGGAACCTCATAGTCCAGACAAAACGGGACAGTTGGTCTCCTTAGTTCTGTGAACCTCAGAAAATGTCACAAGGGAAGCCTGTAAGGGGGTTTCCATGTGGAAAAATGGGTTCATACAGGTAATTGGCATGACTCCCAAGGTAACTCAATAGGTAGACTGATTGTTCTAAGCCATGGAGATGGGTCATTAGACCATTGGGTCCCTATATTAGTTTCCTAGGCTGCTGTAACAAAGTATCACAAACTGGGTGGCTTAAACAACAGAAATTTATGTCTCAGAGTTCTTGAAACCAGAAATCTGAGATCAAAGTGTTGGCAGGGTTGGTTTCTTTGAGAGCTGTGAGGGAATATCTGATTCATGCTTCTTTCCAAGCTTCAATGGTTTGCTGACAACCTTTGGCACTCCTCGACTTCTGGATGCATCCCCTTGATCTCTGCCTTCATGTTCACATGGTATCCTCTTGTGTGTACGTGTCCATCCAAATTTCTGCTTTTTATAAGGACAGCAGTCATATTGATTTAGGGGCCCACCCTAAGCCAATATGATCTCATCTTAACCAAATACATCTGCAGTAATCCCTATTTCTAAATAGGGTCACATTGGAGGAACTGGGGGCTAGGACTTTAACATGTGAACTTGGGGAAGGGGGGCACACAATTCACTGGACAACATTAGCAAATGAAAGACCATCTACCCGCCCTCTTATAAATCATTGGCCCTGAAGGAGAATCCGAAGGAGGAAAAAGATAAAGGACTGGCAGTTGCTATTCCAAGATTCCAAATCCCTCCCTAACAGGAGTCATTGAGTTCACCTTGATTATCTCATAGAGGTGATACCTGAGGTTTTGTGCACAGAAAGAATGCTTGAATACTTGGAGATCTCTTAGCTATCAAATCAGAAATGACTTATTTCCAGGTAACTCTCATTAGATTTGGCAGCAGGGTTGCTCTGGATGAGTAAATCAGTGTAGTTATGCTAGTGAAGCTGAGGGGCTCTGGCAGTAGAGACCTCTCTACTACCAGACAATTTCTCTACCACTAATACGTGTATAATTGAAACAGGCATGTTAGAAGAATGGCTAAATCTGAGATGTGATAATGAGCCACTAAGTGGAAGTTGCTTGAGATCCTCCCACCCAGAAAGATGGCTGACCAGCTACTATATCCTGGGGGAAGTCAGAAAATAGAGAGATTAAGGCTCTTCTTGGCTAGGCATTCTGGTCCCCTGTCTGGATCATTAACCCTCCTATGAAGGGAGCCCAGTAAGCAAACGGGACCTGGAGATTCTATTGACTATTGCCCATTAAGGCAAATGGTTGGACACTAGCCTCAGACATGGTCAATACACTTGAAAAAATAGTATATCCACTTTAGATTACCTTGCTGTTTTGTGATGAAGCCAATAGTATGTTTCCAGTTTCCTTCCGTTTAGACCACCAGAAACAGCTTTCCCACAAGAGCAGCAATATAATGTGGTGGCAAGAGCATGGGCTTAACATGGGTCCCCAACCCCTGGGCCAGGAACTAAACCACACAGCAGGAAGTGAGCAGTGGGGTGGTGAGTGAGGGAAGCTTCATCTGTAATTTACAGCCACTCCCCATTGTTCCCATTACGCCCCAGCTCTGCCTCCTGGCAGATCAGTGGTGGCTTTAGATTCTCATATGATCACAAACCCTACTGTGAACTGTGCATGCAGGGGATCTAGGTTGCATGCTCCTTATGAAAATCTGATGCCGATGATCTCAAGTGGAGCTGAGGCCATGATGCTAGTGCTAGGGAGTGGCTGCAAACACAGATTATTATTAGCAGAGAGGTTTGACTGCATGGAGACCATAATATATCAATCACTTGCAGAGGCATATCAAAACCCTGTCAATGAGTGGCAAGTGACAATTAAGTTGCCTCTGGTGGCAGGCCATAAAGCCATCCCCCCCACCCCTTGCTCTAGTCTGTGGAAAAATTGTCTTCCATGAAATCAGTCTCTGGTGCCCAAAAAGTTGGAGACCGCTGATTTACGACACACCCGAGTCCAAATGACACTCTAACACTAACCAATTGTGTGACTTTGGGCAAAGCCTTTTAACTTTTCTTTCCTTTACTCTAATATTTGACTTCTTGAGAAGATTAAAGAAGACATTATAAATGTGAGAATTAGTATTCCAGTAAACCTGGGAAACTAAAATGTGACATACCACCAAATTTACTTGATATTGATATAACCACACAAAATTTTTTGTGCAATACATAAACTTTACTATAACAGAATTTGGCCTTTATAAACTAGCTTACACATAAAGTTACTCTTTGCTTAACTCACATGTACAAATGTTGAGGTAGTTTAAAATACCTAAAATGAGACTTAAAATAGTATTGAGCACTGTCTTACTACAGTTAATGTATCCAGATTTTAGGAAAAATAAATGATACTGGAAGTTGGGGAAAAAAAAGAGAAGACATTGTATGTAGTATGTCTAACACAGTGCTTGACAGATAACGAGTGATGTTACATTCTAGAGCTGTAATGAGAGATGGGGGTCAACCTTCAACCTGGTCCACAGAACCTACTGCCTGGCTTTACTCCCCCTTTGTTCCCACCTTACTCTCTGACTCCTGCCCGGGAGAGAAGAGTCCAGAAGTTTAGAGTTACACTGTCTGGTATGGGAGCCATTAGTCACATGTTGCTCTTGAGTAATTGAAATGTAGAAAGCCCAAATTGAAATGTGCTGAAACCAGATCTGAGGGATTTGGTATGAAAACAAGAAAGTAAAATATTATTAAAATTGATTTCACTTTGTTTCTTTTTACTTGTTTTTGTTTTAAATAGGCTTTACTTTTCAAAGCAGTTTTAGGTTTATAGCAAAATTGAGTAGAAGGCACAGAGATTTCCCGTGTACCTCCTGCCTGATCATACACACAGACCCCTCCACTGTCACATCCTGCAACAGAACGGTTTGTAAGAATAAGTGACCCTGTGCTAACACATCCTCCTCCTCCAGAGTCCATGGTATACATTAGGTTCGTTCTTGCTGTTATGTATTTTATGGGCTTTTGATAAATACATAGTGTAATTTATCCACCATTATTCTTTTCACTTTTTTTAAACATGGCTATTAGAAAACTTAAAATTGCATACGTGGTTCACTTTGGGGCTGACATAGTTCTATTCTGCAGGTCTGGTGTAATTTTCATTCTAAACAAAGGTTAATGCTCACAGATCAGTATGGCACTTTAAAAACGTTACTCACCAGTGATTTTGTCCTGAACTCAAAAACATCTTTCTGTATTTTACATAAATAAAACCCATTAAACCTTCTGATTTGTATTTGTGTGGTATAGTTTCCCTATTATTTTAGTTTTAACCTATTTTTTAAATTTTTAAGTAGGTTTCTTGTGGAAATCATATCACTCATTTTTTTCTTTTTAATTCAATCTGACATCTGCTTTTAATTGAGGCATTACATCACTCAGATTTAATATG